GGGAAAACAGCAGAGGATACCCGGTGGGCATTCCGCACATATTTATGCAATGAACAAATAAATGAACGGATGAGCGTAAGGATGAGCAGCCACTCCTCTGTCATTTCATCCTTCAGGTGCTCACTGTTTTTGGATGAACAGGAGGCTTCATTCACTTTTTTACCTTACATTAATTATTACTCTAAGAGTCAGAGAGGCTCCTGTGAAGTCTGGGTTGGGAGAGCTCCCTCTCCTGTGGCTAATTCTTTCTGAGACCACACAGATCACACCACCAAGCTTGGAACCCTTCTTCCTCCTGATCGGGACTGTTTGGGAATACCATTGCAGTGGTGATAAGGTCAGCAATATTTTCCACCCGTGTGAGGGCTCATAAGTATGCATTTGGGCTAAGCCGGCAGGAGAGAGCAGTCCTTGAAAGGACATTAAAAAGTTACAAAGATTTAGTGAAGTCCTCATCTGAAGTGTGTTTTCTTTTTAACGGAGTTTGCATTTAGCTCCTCTCTGCCTCACAGCTGGGCGCCACCTGCTGAGAAAGGTGGACTTGGGAGGTTCGTCCTCTGCAGGTTGTTCTTTTACCATCTTTCTGTTTGCTCTCCCCTCCCCCTACTTTCAACACTTGATCAAAAGCTCAGAGCTACTCCGAAGGGCGAGACCAGGTCAGGAGGAGAGCTTTATGTGCCTGAAAAAGGGAGATGGAGCAGATACATTGCAGACAGTTCCCCCTCTTTTTTGACATTCAGATATTGTCCTGATCCTGCTCTTTGCCTCGGCCCACCTGCTGCCTCTGTGGGATCCTGGCAGGGCAGCCAGACAGTAGCTGAAGCAGTGAAAACACACTCTTCCCAGATCTGACAGTCACCAGCAAAGGAAATTTTTTAAGAGCGAGCTGCAGCCAGTTGGGGGTGGAGATGCCAAAATGACTTTGAGACACTGAGGTCATTCCTAGTCGTCCTTCAGATTTAAACTCAAACTTTGTTTCTCAAGTAATTGGTTAAATTTATAATAGTTGAAGTCTCCTATTTTGTTCTCTCATAGCATTTTATTTCCTTCAGAGGGCTGATCACATTTACAGTTTGTTCATTTGTTAATATTAACACCTACCTTCCTGGAGCACATCGTCTCCGCCAAGGAGGGGGGCCATGTTTGCTTTGTCTACCATGGAATCATTATCCAGCCTTACCCTACCACATTTGGGCACTCATTAAATATTTTTTGAATGCATGAATGAATCTTTCCAAATGTATCTAGTTTATTCACCTTATATGTAAGTTTATACTTTAACTTCCTAAATCTGTTTAACAAGGCTTCTCATAAAAGTTAGCCTCTGAGATGGGCAAACTTCAAAAGCTGTGTGTGTGTCTGTGTGTCCATTGTAAAAATGAATATAAAGTGCTAGGAATAAGTGATGTAATGAACTCATTTAAAAACTTATTAAAATGCCACAAGTGAAGGTAGAGTTGCTGGTAATGCTTAGAGTGTCACCAATTTTTGCCCAGTATTCCTGATTAAGAAGTGTCTGATTGATAAAACTTAGAGGCAAAAATACCCAGTGCTATTACCTTATGTTTTTATAACAGTCACTTTTCTTATTTATTATCCTATTATATCCTTAGAATAAGTCCTATGAGTTAGGAAAGGCAGATCATAGCACTGACTTGCCTAATGTCAATATAGTTTGATATCTGGCAAGATGAAAATGTAGCCTTCAGTCTTCTGACTCCTAAGTAAGAATGCTTTCAGCCTTCCCTATTTAAAAGCATTAGGAGCTAGGTGTGGTGGTGGGCACCTGTAGTCCCAGCTACTCAGGAGGCTGAAGCAGGAGAATTGCTTGAACCCGGGAGGTGGAGGTTGCAGTGGGTCGAGATCACGCCACTGCACTCCAGCCTGGGTGACAGAGGGAGACTCTGTCTCGAAAATAATAATAATAAATAATAAATAATAAAAAAACACCATTAGGGGGCCAGGCACGGTGGTTCATGCTTGTAAACCCAGCACTCCAAGGGGAGCAGATCACTTGAAGTCAGGAGTTCAAGATCAGCCTGGCCAACATGGTGAAACCCCGTCTCTACTAAAAAATACAAAAATTAGCCGGGCGTGGTGGCGGGCACCTGTAATCCAAGCTACTTGGGAGGCTGAGGCAGGGAGAATTCCTTGAACCTGGGAGATGGAGGTTGAAGTGAGCCAAGATCGTGCCACTGCACTCCGGCCTGGGTGACAGAGGGAGACTCCATCTCAAAAAAATAAAAAATAAATAAAACCATTAGGGAAATACATCTCAAAGATAAAGAAGATCAATATCCACATATAGCACTGCACATTTACTCAGGCCACTGGATGTTTTATTTTTACTAAAATTGTTAATGATTTCTGCTTATGGCCTATTATATACACTGTGTTTAAACTAGAATCTAAGATATGAAGAGGCAGGTTGCTAGACATAAGATTAATATGGAAAAGTCAACTGTATCTCTCTGTGCTAGCAACAGCTAGAAAAGATTTGTAAGACCTCATTTGATTAAAAAACTATATAATTTTAATGAAAGACATTAAAGAATATATATACAAATAGAGACATCTTATGTTCAAGGAAAAGAAGGCAATATTAAAAAGATGTAATTCTCCCCATATTGAAGTACAGAGTAGATACAAGGCCAATTGAAGTACTGCAGGATTTAATCTTAGAACCCAGCAATCTGATTCTAAAATTTGTATGTAACAGGAAGAGCCAAGAATGAAGAAAAACAATGCTATTGGTGGTGGCGGGAGGGGGTGCAGGGGGATAGAGACACACATACCATATATCAAGACCCATTATAAAGCTATAGTAAATCTGGCACTGGAGCAGGGATACACACATAGACCAATAATAATAGTGTCAGAAACACCCACACACATAAGAAATTTGATACAGGATGCTGGAGATGAGAGGGGGAAAGATAGGCTCTTCATTACAGTGCTGGAATGCTGGCTACTTATGTAGGAAACAGACTACTGTTTCTCATCATTTAGAAAAAATGATTTCAGATGGATTAAGAATATATGAAAAACAACATTAAAATTTCTACATAAAAAATATCTTTATCACCTAAGGGTATGGAAAGAACATGTCATAAAGGAAAAGCTTGATAAATTCAATAATATTAACCATATTCAACTATTTTAATAATGAAAGACAAACCAAAAGCCTGCAGATATTTGCAACATATAAAATTGACAAAGGATCAGTATGTAGAATGTATCAATAATCAATTAACAATGAAAGAAAGAATGAAAGCAAAAGCAGGCAAGAGAGGTGAACAAGCATTTAAGGTTTTGAATTTTTTGGCCATCTATATTTTCATAGAAGAGAAAACATGAATGGCTAATAACGATATGAAAAGACATTAATGAAGAAAATGGGAATTATAATCACAGCTACACATAAGTACATATTCACCAAACTAGCAAAAATTCAAAAGTCAGAGAGACAGCTGTAAAATGGTAGGAATCCTCGCCTCCTAGTGGATGCAACAGCAGGTGGCCATGCCACCCAAGGCAGAAAATATCCTGTGACCCAGCCATTCCTGTGGGTTACCTATCTATTGACTGGTCAACATACAGATTATTTTAACAACAGAAAGTAATCTTACTATGTGTTATTGTGTGATAAGACCTGCTTCTTAAAGCCCTAATAGATAATTATAAACACCCATTTCATTAAGAGTTAGTTATCACATGGAAACAGAATAATGTATCAACTAAGCCCCTACTCTTGACCATTTAGATTATTTCAATTTTTTTTTGCTAATACTAGCAAACATAATACTCTGGTTTCTCTTCAGAGTGTGTAAATCTTTCCCCTTTTACTAATACTAGCAAATTTACATTTATACAAATGTAAGTATTAAAATGTGATAAATACCCTTGTAGGTGAATATTTGCATATATTTCTGATTATTTAAGATACATTCTTATAAGTAGTTTAATGGTAGACATGTTTAATGTAGATTGTTTTGCATCAAATTGTCCTCCATAAAATATTACTAATTTATACAGCAGTATATGTTTCCTACAGCCTTCCCAACACTATTAAAAACATAAGTTTTGCCAAATTTATAGGTGAAAACTTGTCCACTAAATTTTTAATTTGCATTGATTTAAGTAATAGTGAAGCTGGACATTTTTTGTTTATTCTTTTACTTTGCACATGGTTTACTCATTTAATTCTCTGCCCATTTTTCTACGAAAGTGTTTAAATTTTCTTAATGACACAGTAGAGTTCTTAATATATTCAGGATACTATTCCTTTCTCTGCCAAACACATTAAACTTAATCATTTATTTATCCTTTGGTTTTGTTTCTATTCGCTTAACTGAAGTATTTATTTCCATTTTTACATAGTCAAATAAATGTTTTCCTTTCTGGTTCATCTGGTTCATTCTCAGATGTATCCTTTTTCTTTTTCTTTTTTTTTTTTTTTTTTTTTGAGATGGAGTCTCACCTTCTGTTGCCCAGGCTAGAGTTCAGTGGTGCAATGTTGGCTCACTGCAACTTCCGCCTCCCAGGTTGAAATGACTCTCCTGCCTCCCAAGTATGGGATTACAGGCGTGCACCAACATGCCCATCTAATTTTTGTATTTTCAGTAGAGATGGGTGGAATTAACTCATCTCCCTCTTATCCCTCCTACAATAAAAATCTCTCATCCAAAGAAGGGTAATAGCATCTTTCTGAAAGGGTCACTGTGAACATTAATTAATGTAACTTATACTAATGTGCTTGATAGCTAGTAAAGCAATATATGAATGTCAATCATTAGCAGCCCCTCAATAAATCAGAGTTATTGACACCACATGCAGAGATTGTATGCACTTGAGCTGATGCACTTGGGGATAACAGTCTAGAAGGTCAAATGTACTATACGAAGGAGACACTAATATGAACTTTCATTTCACATCCTTTCACAAGTTCAGGAGTACAAAGCAGTCACTAGAAAGGCCACAGACAATGAGGGCTCTCTTACCTTACTTAATCTTCCCCTTCCTCCGCCAACTCTGTTTCTTTGTGTACCACCACTCTTGTGACCGACATGTCAGGGTGCTGCTCTCTGGCTTCCCTGATCGCCTGAGCCAGTGCCTGCCAGGGACAGGACAGAGAACGGATGTGAGCTGGGGAACAGCCTCCACCTCACGATGGCAAAACATACGCACACTGATCACCTCAGACCCAACCTCAAGCCAAGAGGCACTCACTTCTTTATTTGAGGAAGCAGGAATTTTTGAAATGGGCTCACTGTCATTTTATAGACTACTTCTCATTTCCTAAATCTCCCCATCCTCCAGTCCACTTTCAGATAATGACACGTGGAGGGAACATGTTGGCTTTGAATCCCAGGCTTATTATACTCACTGTGAGATTTGCAGAAAACAGTTCTTTGGAGTTTAGTGTTCTTACCTGTATGTAACCCGAGACCAATGCTGAGTTGTAATGATCATTTTAAGGTTTTCTGTGTGAACTGAAGTAATGCTGTAAAGCATAGTGCCTGATCTAGACATTCAGGTGATACTAGCTATCACCCAATTGCCTGAAACTGCAAGGCATAGGACCAGGCCTTGCTCATCTTTATCCTCTTAGGCTCTCAGTAATTGTTTGAACTAAAATGTTTGCTGAACTAAAAGACTGCAGGAAAGATGTCTATAAACCTCTAAGACACAGAACTAAAGAGCAGTAGCAACAACATCCAATTAGTAAAGCTAAAGAACAGAGACTGACTAATCAGGTTATAAAATACAGGTCCCTATTTGATAGTTGACAAAACTGCAGGCACAAAGATTAATGGGTTTCTCAAGGCCATCCAGCCTGTGAGCAGTAGGACAGGAGCAGGGAGGACGCAGAGGACTGACTCCAGTGGTTCGTGGTTCCTTCCTTGGACCACGTGGTAAGAAAGCAAAGTTTCTCTGCGTTTTATCAGAAAGTAAACTATAAAAGTATTGCGGCACAATGGAAAGATCCTATTTTTCAGAGGAGGTAAATGCCTTTCTTAATTATTACTCATTTTGTTTTTAAAAGCATGGGTGAGAAAACAAAACACCAGAGAACAACTCTCAAAGTCTAGGAAATAATTCTAAAGGCCAGGTGCGGTGGCTCAGGCCTGTAATCCCAGCACTTTGGGTCGCCGAGGCAGGCAGATCACTTGAGGCCAGAAGTTCGAAACCAGCCTGGCCAACATGGTGAAACCCAGTTTCTACTAAAAACACCAGGCTTGGCTGGCACACGCCTGTAATCCCAGCTTGGGTGGCTGAAGCAGGAGAACTGCCTGAACCGGGAGGTGGAGGCTGCAGTGAGCCAAGATTGCACCACTGCACTCCTGCCTGGGCAACACAGTGACACTTTGTCTCAAAGGAAAGAATGCTAAAACAAAGAGAAAATTTTACTAGGACAGAGAATACCATATCTCATAAGGAAACTGCATTTGAAAAAAAGCCGTGCAATTTTTCTTTTGCTGTCACCTGCCTAAGGGGACAACTGCATTTCTTGTTTGCATGATAGTTTCTGTCAGCTGTAAGGACACCAAGCAGAAACCCTAAGCCTTGTTTCATTAAAAAAAAAAAAAAAAAAAAAAAAAAAAAGGAAAGCTATCAGCAAAAAAAAAAAAAAGACATAATTTTTATACCACAAAACTTTTGCACAGAAACTTGGAAGACACTTGAGGGTGCTTAAATTTCCACCAGGGAAGAAACGTTTGTGAACTACCTGTGTTGTGACGAGAGAGAAATGAGACACGGAACCAGCCTCCAATCTGAGCAGTAGCAGAAGTGTTTGTCAAGGGGGGAGAGTGAATGGCTGGAGGGCTAGCGTGGAGCGGGAGCAGGAGCAGGTATCTAATTCCAGGGAAGGGCAGAGAAGCTTTTCAGCGTGTTGACTGGAATGGGAAAAGGGAAGGGAGAGGAAGCACAGGGGTGTAGTTCTACATTTTGTGTGTGTGTGTGTGTGTGTGTGTGTGTGTGTGTGTGTGTGTGTGTGTCTTCAGAGAGAAGGAGATTGGAATGATCCAAGCCATTTACTACATGTTGGTTTGTGCAGTCCACACCGGGAAAAGTCAAAGACAAGGACAAGCTCTGATGGAAGCCAAGTGTAGCTACAGACAAATGGTCAAACACTTTTGAGTATCTGGTCTACCAAGATCTGCCTACAATAAACCAGGGCAATTGTTAAAGAGAAAATGTAGATGATGCCCAAGGGAAGGCAACATATATGAAACACCCTCTTAATTCACAAAAAGGTTGGGAAAAGCAAAAACTGCTACAGTCATCTTGAAACACAATCAAAATCACTTTGTTAAAACTCCTTTCATTCCATAATATCGGCACACAAAATTAAATACTGTAAAATGTCATTATGGCAATAAGGATTACGAGAAAACATCACATCTTATTGCCAAATTGAGAAATTACTTCTTAGAAAGAAACACACTGTGAAGAGCAACTGCAGTGTAGCTTACCCCTCCCTGGTATGGAGCTAAAGTGTCATGACCAGCACAGGGTGAAGAATCTGCAAAGCAAGTTTCTATAAAAGCATGCCTCTTTGATTTGCCAACACAGAAAAGATTTCTTGTTTTCTGTCTGGCCCAGTGAAAGTGTCCTTCCATTTTAAGATTCCTTTCTTTTTTTTTTAAGACAGAGTCTCGGTCTGTCACCCAGGCTGGAGTGCAGTGGTGCGATCTCGGCTCACTGCAAGCTCCGCCTCCCGGGTTCCCGCCATCCTCCTGCCTCAGCCTCCCGAGTAGCCGGGACTACAGGCACCCACCACCACGCCTGGCTAATTTTTTTGTATTTTTAGTAGAGACGGGGTTTCACCGTGTTAGCCAGGATGGTCTCCATCTCCTGACCTCGTGATCTGCCCGCCTCGGCCTCCCAAAGTGCTGAGATTACAGGCGTGAGCCACTGTGCCTGGCCTTAAGATTCCTTTTAATGTAGGCAAGGAACTGAAAAAAATGTCAATGTTATGAAGGTCCCTATATGATCAACATCGGATTTTGACAGGAAAGTGGTTTCATCATTTAATTTTAAGTAGCTCTGTCATCTCATTACATACTCTAAGGAGAAAGTAAACCCACAACAGCTTCTGGTGACAAGCATACCGAAAGCCACAATCACATTTACTCAAAAATGTTGGCCAGATGTGGTAGCTCACACCTGTAATCCCAGCACTTTGGGAGGCCGAGGTGGGTGGATCACCTGAGGTCAGGAGTTCAAGACCAGCCTGGCCAACATGGTGAAACCTCATCTCCACTAAAAATACAAAAATTAGCCGGGCGTGGTGGTGCATGCCTATAGTCTCAGTTACTCAGGAGGTTGAGGCAGGACAATAACTTGAACCCAGGAGGCGGAGGCTGCAGTGAGCTGAGATTGTGCCATTGTACTCCAGCCTGGGCACCAGAGGGAGACTCCATCTCCAAAAAAAAAAAAAAAAAAAGTTTATGGTATCTCACAAACATAAAAACGCGAAATTTCTGTTCTCTTCATTTGGATATCTGACCTCAGTTTTACAAAGGGCTGAAACATGACATCATATACAAAAAAGGAGATTCCCATCCTTGTAGCAACAGCAATTAAGGCTGCAGAGTCATCATGGTTTTTAAAGAGTTAGGTGTACGTGTTATTTTGGCACTTGTATTTCAAATTGTGTTTTTAATATTTGTCTTTCAGAAGCAATACTATCTAGATTTGAATTTTTTGATAAAACAGGCCAAAATATTCTTTTGCCTTTTATAACAAAATTATTTTGCCTTTTGTTATAAAAGGCAAAAGAATACACATAAGTAAAACCTAAGTACTAGAAAGGTGGCATTTTAAAGTGTGTAAAGGGCCTAGGTTCAGTGGGGAGAGGGGGTAGAAGAAACAACGGCTGGGAGAAGACCCTAGTTTGCACTTTCCACCATGCCAAAGTATGCGGGCTTGTGCCTCACATATTCTAGGAATTCAATGAGTGCTTATTGAGAAAAGTCCCAGAGAGAAAGCAGCAGGTTTGCTCCAATTTCAGGTCAGGCGAAACTCAAGACTGCTCCAGTGGACAGTAGAATAAACCCCCTCTGGAAAACTGGAGGCTTGATTCCACATAAGTCACTCATTTCCCCACAGTAAGCAGACAAGTGTACTAATACTCTCTAGGAATCTCCAGTCCTATGCCAAAATCCAGAGTCAAGGCAACCTTTTAACCTCTAATAACTCTTAAGAAAAATTTAACAGCACATTACGAATATGTAAGTGAAATCATGCTTACAAAGTCAAAAAAATTGGGAGTAATTTTCTTCTTAGGCATGAAAAAATCCATTTATCTCTGATCACATATAGGCAGTCTTTCTCAAGTGAGGAATTCTGTTCTCTAAAATGTTCTTTCCTGAGCTCAGTATTGTGTCCAAAGCTGTGTAACTATCGTTAGCTCCTACTCCCCAGCTGAGATGTCAACTGAATATTTCTTTTCCTTTTCTTCAAGTTGTTATAAAAGGAAAACAGCTTGGTCTCCTTTAAAGCTGAGTTAAAATCACTTTTTAAAAAATTCTCAGCATCACTTGGGACTGCAGTCTAAAATTAAAACTGCTCTCAAAGTCCCCAGCAGTTCCATTCATCACCTGCTCAAAGCCACGCATGCCGCCAAATTTAACATTAGAATGGAGGCATGATTCTTTTAAAAAATTTTCAGAATCAATGTAAATTTTCACCGTGTAAGAAACCTTATATTACCTCCCCTCCTCCAATAATTGCAATAGAAGAAAATACCTGGAAGTAAATAGCTTAACTTTTCTAATGCCATAAACATACTTGAAAAGTTCCTAAAAGTAGGCATAGGTCAAGCTTAGTGGCTTTCTTCATTTTTTGGAAGCCAGTGCATTGAACTGCCATTCATTTTAAAATATTTGATCACTTGCCTTTAAACCAGGCCCACATGAATCTAATGTTTTCCAGAAATCCTCCAGATTACTTCGACCCAAAAGTGCACGTAAAGCCAGTGGGAAATAAAGAGAAATCTGTGTAGGAAAGCTTGTGTCCAGGCTGTGTCTTTACGTCCTGCTTAAGAGGTGGACTTCATCTACTAGGTACTGGGAGAAGAGGTTGACACAGGTATGCGACATGATGACACATGTGAAACTTAGAAAACAAACATGGTCATTTCCAGAACTATAACTTAAATTATTTACCTGGTCATGATCAATATCTGCATCTCCTGTGATCACAATGCGTTTCTCAATTCTTGTTTCAGAAATTCCACCTTTTACAGTCTAAAGGTCATAAATGAGAAGAAGAAAAAACAGCAATCACTAAAGCACGTTTACACAGAGCAAAGAGAGATGGAGTCCACCTAGACCTGTTGATCATCGTAAGGCCACACACACACCAAGCAGCGGAAGACTGATATTCTAGAAACACTCTGAGCTTTATTTTTAAGCTCAACAGAGAATCCTATTACTAAAGTTATAGCATCCACAAGTATCCCTCAACTGAGAGCAATCTTAAAACTAATTTACCAATATTCAAGATGGCATCTGTCCCATCTTAATCTCACTTAAAATAGGACAGATATTATTTAATCCAAGTAGCTCCTTTAGGGCATTGTTATAATTTCCCCAGTTTCTTTATTCCTAGCTGGCCAATTTTTAAAAACGAGAGTAGGGAGAAATCAGTTATCTGCAGAATTACAAGAAATTGTAAGAATTTAGGTATCTGTTTTCGGTTTGATAAATTGTTTGATGTGATAGATATTTTTTCCCCATCACAGAAGACTTCCGTATGATGTGATGGTTTTGACCGACGGATTCTGAGCATACAAATTCAGTTGCTGATTTTGTTCTTTTCATTTGGTGCAATAATTTTAAAAAGGATTTGCTTTGGTTTAAGATATGGGTGAGATTTTTGTTGAATGTTTGATTTGATGACACCCTGCATAAGTAGTCGTGCACGTGGACATGGCACATGGCTGGACAAAAGGCTGAGGACCAGGCTGGAGAAGGGAGCTCCTGGGGGAACTGCCTCACAGTGTTATGGGCTCCCTGCAAGCTGAGAGTGCCTGAGGCACACTGGATGAGGCTGAGGAGATCATCTGGCTGTGACCTTCTAAATAGTCAATAAGCAAATACCACACTGTCCTGGGAAAGCACACATCCAACCTTTAAAACTGTGATAAATGTATACTCTCAGTCACAAATGACGGCATTTTACTGTAAGAAACAAGGCTTATCACTAGGCTTAATAACTGGATATGCTTTAAAGTGAGCACCAATGGTACCTTGTATTTATGTGGCATTTAAAAATTTACAAATTACTTTTGCTGTTTTTTAAATTGTCGTGGAAACATGGGTTGGGAAGGGCACAAGGGATACCTTTAAGACCTTTAGACATTTATCCAAAGTAAAAAACTGAAGCAGAAGGAAATAATGGAAAACAAGGCTGGAGTTAGGAATCTGATGACTTCAGCATGCATCAGAATCACCTGGAAGCTTCTTAAGACACTTCCAAGGTTTCAGCAGGACTGGAGAGGGGCCATGCTATTTATACTTCTAACAATGCCCCGGGTGAAGCTGATGCTGCTGATCCAGGGAACACTGGTCACCCAGTGCTAAACATTTAGAGAATTATGCAGGGAGGGAGGGGGAATGCCCCAAATCAGCATACTAGCAATCTTAAATGAGGGAAATTCAACATTATCTGAACAACTTGCTGAAAATTCTGAATGATGGCCTTCATTCACTCGCTAGTCAGGAAGGCTGGTTTAATAAAAGTAGAAGCACAAGTTTGTTTTTATAAATTATAAATTTTATTAAATTATTTATGCTTTTGTAGCTATCTTACATACAGTTATTCATAACATATTTTTACCCCCTTGTACTTTACAAAATTGCAATTTGGTTTGAATGCATTTGTCAACGGAGCCCAATTTCTTGGATACTTTAAACCAAGGCATTTTTATTCCACTGGCACTGTCTGTATCTTACTTGGAAGTGTGTATAGGAACAGAGAAACAATTCAGAAAAGATTCTGTCTGTAATGTACCATCCTCTCCATATGATCCCCTGCATTGTTTTACCTTAGTGATGTGTGTGGTTGTCGTTGTTGACACCGACTCAGATGTGATGGTTTGTGCAGTCAGTAACGTGCCCGAATCACCACCAGCCCCGCCATCAATCTTTGGATAGTTGGGGGAAAAATACAAAGTAATGCTTAACTTCCATTATGTTGTCAGAGAAGACCCCCACCCCATCGAATATGCATCTTTTAAAATCTATGTGGTTTGCGTGTTTGCAGTGGTAATTTACCGTCCACGAGAGCAGTTGGTATTTAAAACCAAGTAGAGGCAAAAGACTAGGTGCACATGGAGAAGCAAACTCAACTGTGTGAGTGGAGAAAAGAGAGGAGAATGGACATAGGAGGTGGGACTGAAAGCTACAAGGGAATTATGACAGAATTTATCTGAAGGACATTTGCAGAAGCTAGAAAATGAAACTAGAGAGCCAGGCAGAGAAGTTTCCACAGTGACCAGAAGCACTGAGTTTGTTGTTTTTTAAGCACAGGTGGGTAAAAATAGATAAACATTTTATCAGATTACCAAGCAACAGAACCTGACTAGGACAGACTGAACCTGCATGATTTGGTTATCTGCTTACCTCTAGCAGATTGTTTTTATCAACTACATTGTTCCTGTAATAGTTTGTATGTTGTGAGCATATATATAGGCAAATATTTCAATATTACACATACACATGTGCTCTCTACATATATATAAATCCCATACATATGTTAAAATAGATTTTAACTTGTTTGCTTTGATATTGAAAGATGCAGAAGATTCTAGAGTTTCCAAGGGGAAACAATGAAGCAAATTAATAGCCTAATAGTTTATGTTAAGATCACAAAACATATTTGTCTTCTGTTTCCTGTCACTGACACAAGGAAATAACTGGACGGTCCAGAGCCTTTCTGACTGTAAGAGGAAACTTCTTTCAAACTTGGGTCATGCACCTGTATTTCTTCATTCTGGCAACTTACCACAATACAGACACATGACTATTGCTCCCCCGCCGCAGCCGTTCATAAGAAACCTGTTGTGCTTATGTGGGATCAATGCACACACAGGGATGCCATACCCAAAATAATTTTCAGACAAGATTCACACATGCATGCATTAAACCTTTTAAAAAATACTCTGAGAGGTCAAGAACCTGACATCCTCCACCATGATACAATTCTACCACAGAAGGTTCATCTTCTCAGTGGAGAAAATGTTTATTTTATATTCTATTTTGAAATGATGCTTTCTCTTTTTTTTTTGTTATTCTGAAGCTTAAACATCTTAATGCTTATTCTAAAACTTTACAGAACCAACGTGTGAAAACCTAACATCAAACACACAGATCTGATAATTATTTAGACACATGGTATCATCATTCACATATGAATGACTACATAGGGTCTTTAGAAAATAATTCCACATGAAAGAGAAGCACAGGTGTGTGTGTGTGTGTGTGTGTGTGTGTGTGTGTGTGTGTTATTACAAGCAAGAATGAGTTGATTGCGTTGATCTTCATGGAGTAACAGAGGGAAAGAAGCCTAAATCACATCCACAATTAGATCCAATTATTAATTGATGAATTATATCAGCTAAACTTTGCAAGACAATTTGTTTCCTAAGTGTGCACAAACATTCTTGGATATGTCAACCCAGAAATGGCTTTCAATACTATGAACAAGATTGACACTGTCTGTCCTAAATAATGATATATACAGTTCCCCTATAATTACTGGGTTACCAATTTAATTGCAGCTCTTTGTCTCACTCTAAGAGAGAAACACAGCAAATTATGTTGTTGAAGCACAGTTATAAAGTAGAGATCCAAAAAGCTACATCAAAGCCAGAAACATGTAAACGAAGAGAAGAAAGAATGAAAACACAGCCACACTAAGTGAAAAAAGAGCTTGAACAGTCCAAGTCTAGAGCTTTTGTACCTGTGGAGACTCATATGTGATGGTTTTGGTCTCAGTTTGGACAATGGGGACTTCCTTGGTGGAGATTTCTGTCCTTTGTGAGGCATCAGAAATTGTTACCATCTCTGTTTTTACCACTGGTGGCTGAGGTGGAAAAGGAAGGGAAAAATAAATTCTAGAGGTAATAAAGTAAAAGTGTTTAATGGAACCTTCACAAATAATTGTAAGAAACATATCCAAACACACACTCATGCACAAAAGAGTAAAAACAAACAATCTAAAACAAACAAAAGAAATAAAAGAAACATTTTCCTTCAAATATATCATATGTACACATACATACATGTGTACACAGATATGTACATACATATGAATGTGTGTATGTGTATATACACATACATGAAAAATAAGTTGACATGACGGCTTCCTTTACTATGTTACTCTTTAAGATGGTCCCAAACTACTTATATGTCAAGCCTAGTGTATAGTCACACACACACACACACACACACACACACACACGCTCTCTCTCTCTCTCCTTGGCTTTGGGCCAGTAATAATAAATTGAAAAGAAAATAGAATGAACTATGTGAAGTGACCTGTCTCTATTTTTATCATAGTTTAAAGGACCGCATAGTTTGTGTGAAGGCTCACTGCTTTTAACTGGCATGCCAGCTAGGTAGGCTAAGATTTGTTCTTCTGCCCACAATGCCTTTTCTGCCTTATTGTTAACAGACACACCATTTTCAGAAAGGATGTCTTCAAGTATTACTGTTTTCAATTATACTTGTCTAAAACTTGCAGTGTTTCCTCTGTATTACCTAAGTTACAATGCTCTATCTAAAATTACTCCATCAATGTTACACCAATGCTTCGAACAATTTAAAACATTAAAGGAAATATTCGACGGCTTATTAACATTGTAGCCTGCCGGGTATGCATGTTTAATATTAATGCAACACCAGACTATATTACTACCAAAATACTGCAGTACTTTCTTTGAGAGAACATTCTCAACAGGCATAATTATTTCAAGAGGAGTAACGATATGTTAAATACGGAATAGTTCAAAGTGTTCAAAGACTCTTGAAAAATCTTCTCTAAAGTGAAAGAGAAGTTTAAAAGTAACATGGTTAAAATCCACTTGGCTATTTTAAGACAAAGTCACTTCAACATTTTCCATCCCATCGAAGAGAACAAAATAAACCTCTGTATTGCGGGCATTTAATATTAAAATCAAGAAATATTGCCAAGGAAATAAACCCTCCCTCAGCCTAACTCCCAAATGAGAGACACTGCACCTAGTGACCAAGGCTTAATCTAAGAAAAGTCTGAAAAGTTCTCTTCTTTGAAAAGAAAAAGATTCATATCTAATGTATAGATAATCCACAAAACATATAATCATCTGGCAAATATTCCAGAATTGGCATTAGGACAGAATGAGAAGAGAGGATATCCTCCTATCAAATAGCCTAGCCTCTGGCTGCCTGGAAGGAAAGAAAGGCTCTTAACAAAACCACACAACCCCTGGAATCCCACAATGGAAATCACAGTGGCATTCAAGAAATAACATTCTCATCACTGCTGGATACTGCATTCAGAGAACCACGGTAATCAGAGCCTGCTGTCATTTCTAAAACTCTGAAGTTGAAGAGTAAAAGAATGAGCCAAGAAGTCAAACCCAATCATGACATCAGGGGCACACGCACTCAGCACTGAACATTTTTTTTTCAACATTACATATACATTTTTCTAATTAAACCAAAAGGGGGAAAAAAGGCATTTAGTGTGAGGAAGCAGTGCAACTAAAGACAAAACAGTTGGAAACACCCAAAACATGCAAAGAAAAATTTAAATGTGAAAAGGGAAGGAAAAATTGATGTGGTGCTTGTAGGAAAGTTTACCCTACAGGCGTCCAGTGGCAGCAGAGAAGCTGGAACCCATGAACTGAGCTGGCAGAAAATCCACAAAGCAGTGCTTTCCCCCTTCCTCCCGTGAGAGAGAAAAATGAGATTCTTGTTGAAAAAAGCTGAAGAACTGGGAGGACAGGAGAAGAAAGGCAGGAGTTCCCCACCTGAGAAGCAGCTCTAGAATTTGGCTCCCACCTGGAACTCCCATTTACCTCTGAACAACAAATAATTTGTGGCAAAACATCAATGTCAACATGGGACACCTCTCCGTTAACTTTCTGTGGCTCTTCCTCTGCTTCTTCTCCCATGTCTTGCTTAAGAGCGCCTTCGTGTACACTCTTCTCTCCAGGTATCTTTTGGGCACCTACATTTTCCTGGATCACTGTTTCTACTGTGATTACACTGGCACCTGCTTGTGTGACTGGGCTGGCTTCGGGCACTGCTTCCTCCCTCTCTACTACCTTGGCTGCTGGGCGGGGTTCTTCCTCCACCTCTTCTTCATACTCCTGTTCCTCCCTGATGGTGCCCTCGGTCACTCGGTGGTGGGGACGGTACTCTCCCACGTCTTCCTCCTCACTCTCACTGCTGCTGCTGCTGCTCTCAGAAGACAGGGAGGTGGAGTCTTTTTGTGTCACAGGCTCCACCTTACGAATCTCCCCAGGACCACTCCCAGGTGATATCTCTTTACCATTCATTTCTTCTGTGATTACTCTTTCGTCTTTCCCAACCTCTGCCCGCTTCTTCTCCTCCACTATATTCAGAGTCTCATGTGAACTCTGCACAAAAAAAGATGGACGAGGGAAAACAAAAATATATGAATAAATAAAAACAACGGAAACCCAAATTAACTGATGGCAGATTCATGTCATGGAGAAAAACAAAGATGATTATGACAGCTGACTGAAAGGGAAGCGGGGCAAACGTGAGGGCAATGAGAAACGTGAGGCGATGGTGTTAACATGGAAAAAGGGGAGAACCTTAACAGCATCCCTGGCTCCAGTGCAAGGCCCTTCTGACTCAGGAGCACGTGTCTGCGGAACAAAAAGCAACCGAGGACACAAAATCAATACAGTTTTACCTCAACAACCACTGAAACAAACATCTGACACTGCAAAGACAAAACAGCAAGAATCAACATCTACAGAAACCTGCTCAAGGTCACATAGAGGACAATCAAGACAAATGCCAAAGGGCTTACAAAAAGACACAAAAACAGCTAGCATCCTCCCAAAGAAGTAAAATGCTTTTATTGTACATATACCTATAAGCTCTACCTATGTAGTTAAAACAGTTTACAAAAATTGAATTATACCAAAGCTGACTCATCATTTTAAAGAAAAAAATGTAACTTTTAAAACCTAGTCAACAGTTTTGGTTTTAATCAGACTGTAAAGTCTAGCCTGGAACCCTGATTCTTAAATGAACATAGCACCAAGGAGATGGCACTTTTATTTTTTGCTGGTTTTCTTTAAAAAAAAAAAAAAAGTTTTAATTGGCAAAATTATAGTTGGCCTCAGAAGGCTATTAATGTGAAAATGTTCATTTCAGAAATGGTTATTAACATTCCAATTCGTATCATAGGTCAGCAAAGGCTACATTATACAATAGGGTGGATGTCAATGGTGGCTCCAAGCGTTTTTTCTTACAATTTAGCTCCTCTACTAAGCATCTTTGAAATCTAAAATGAGTCAAGTTTATTATTTGACATGTTCACTCCTATCTCCGCAGACATCTACTTCTTGGGAGTAAATTAATTTACCCCAGTTGAGTAATATAGTACCTAAATGTTCAATAAATATCTGTTGACTGAATACATTAGTAACAAATTACTATGTTATGGTATTATTAACTAGAGTGGAAACCTTTTTGTACAGAGGAGTTTTTAAAGCTTCACATTTTTCTCACACAAAAAGTTTGCTTTACAATGATACAACTCAAGCATGGCCAACTTTTTGACTTCTAGGTGGTCCTATTGCCTATGATCTAACTTAAAAATAATTCAGCTAGAGCCCGGAGCCCTGTTTATTCATGAAAGTGACTCCATTCTGGATGGAGAAGGGCGCCGCACCACTGAGCCCTCTGGATATTGTTGTGAAGTTGCCAAGGTACTAACTGGACTGGAGCCTATAACAGATAGCAGGGCTGTGTTCATCTGTCCCAGACACATGGACACCATGAGCTGAAGATCCTAACATCACACACACACGTCTCTGCAGCACTGTCAACATCTACTCACAAACTCTCTTGGACCTGCCCTATTATTCTTAAACACATGGTAAGGGCATGCTTTCATTGATCCAAATTAATACCATGTAAATCACATTACTAACAGAAGACAGTTATCGTTCCAGTTTTATTGAAAACTCAAGAGGTTTTTAGATATTAAACTAAAAAAACTCTCAATCTATTTTGATAAACAGGTAACGTTTAACCGTGACTACATATAATAAAGATATCCAGTGACCAGAACATTTCTGAAACACACATTTCATTATTATTACAGGTCAGTGAATTCCTATTACTGTTATATCTTAACCTCAATGGGCTGGATAGGTTCTGCCCAAGTTCAGGGAATTCCTTAGGGTCATTCAAAAACAATTACCTCATGGTGCGTGGGAGGCACTTCAGATTTTTCCATATAAACACAATTGTAAAAATAACACGCCATCAGAGGATGCCTGAAATTTGGGGTTTTGAAAATGTCAACTCTGCAAAGCATACTTCGCTTCTATCTGGTTGAGGGTTTCCCTCTGCTTAACAGCTCAGACTCTGGAACTTAATGATTTAAATTATTCTCTGAATTTAGGCAGATTTTTTTTTATTTGACCAAAGAAGCAGGAGAAACATCCAATCTATATCTTTTCTTCATGATCCAAATCAGTCATTGTTTCTTGAATGTTTCTCCCAGGAAGAATTAATTTCACCAATGAAAGCACTGGAGGGAATGGTGCCTGAATATTTAAAAAATGAAAATCTCTCTCATATGTGGCTTTTAGTAACAGCGGAAACAAAGTAAAATGCACCTCAAGCAAGTGTGAGAAGGGCGAGGAAGAAAGCTTTTCAGAAGGTGCATTAGCGCTCACAACAGCGCCCTCTGCTGTCCAAGTGGTGGCTGAAGTGAAGGTGGCTTTCATGCTATCAGAAAAGCCCTTTTCACTAAACAATATTGATGTTATCTCCTCTTCTAGGCTCTAGAGAGGTCAGAAAAGGAAGAACAGAGAATTAGCAATAAGTCAGAACAGACAGCAGTGACCTACTGAAAGAAAGGAAAGGTTACACAAGAAAGAACAACAGAACAGCATAAAATGAAAGAAAGATGAGAATTCTGACAGATTCTGCAGCAGGCTTATGCAGAGGTTTGTGAGCGCCAGCTTTTCCACCCTGCTTGAGAATCTTTGATAGTTGCGACCTACAGAAACCAGGGAAAACTGCTTGGTTGATCAACAACTGAGCACAACCGACCCACCCAAACGCCATTTCACATATTCTTGAGGTAGTTCCTCGGCCTTTTTCTGCACGGAATGGCCTCTTCAGTGGCCCCTACACTTGAAATGCTTATTCTTGTGTTAGAGCTTGGACAGTCCTCCCTCTCCTGCCTCCAAGACCCTTCTTTGCCCTTCTCTGCACACTCTGGTCCTTTCCAGTTTTCTAACCTCCCTGAGGCCCACTTCATAGTCTGTACTTTCTGTAAGGCCTTTCTGACCACTCCAGCTCCTACAATCTCCTCCCTCCTCCATACCACCTTAACTCTCTGTACAACAAACATTCTGACAGCGGACCACATTCGTTCCCTCAGGCATGCTAAATATGCCACAGAATAAATTACCCTGCCCCTTTTTTTTGCAAAAAGAAACAGGTAAAGAAAAACAATTCAAAACAGGAAGACAAACTCAGTGTTGAAAGCTCAATGAGCAACGTGAAAATTATTTCTCCCTAAAAATGATGAAAGCAAATTTAACTTTGCTGTGTCTGGCTCTTAAACAATGGCTCCTAACCTGCCTGAGGGACAACTGTCCTCAGAAACTTGAAGTGTCAGTACTCAAGAGTCACCACGAAGTCCCTCATGTCAGAAGTGTGAGAATAACTCCCAATAAACCCCACTATTCAGAATTTTTTTTTTTTTTTTTTTTTGGAGACAGAGTCTCGCTCTGTTGCTCAGGCTGCAGTGCAGTGAAGTGATCTCGGCTCACGGCAAGCTCTACCACCCAGGTTTAAGTGATTTTCCTGCCTCAGCTTCCCCAGTAGCTGGGATTATCAGGCATGAGGCACCACACCCAGCTTATTTTTGTATTTTTAGTAAAGACGGGGTTTTGCCATGTTGGCCAGGCTGGTCTCAAACTCCTGACTTCAGGTGATCTACCCTCTTCGGCCTCCCAAAGTGCTGGGAATACAGGCGTGAGCCACCGCACCCAGCCACTATTTAGAAATCTTAAAGAAAAATCAATGACACTCCAGAGGGGTCCTCTCATACTGTAAGCTAAGAAGGGTGAGGAGTGCAGACAGTCAGGTGAGGAGAGTGAGGTGAGTAGGCACTTGCAATATTCAGCAGAGAAAAAAGCTTCTGGACTGATTTAGCTTCATTACCATCTCTATGATTACACCATCCCTAGGGGAAGTGGGGATGGGTGGGGTGCCCTTCCCAGTGAGAGATCACTGTTTGGTGAGCTTAAAGAAATGCCACACATTTCATTATTCAATGATATACCTTCAAAAGTACCTTACAACTCAATGTATAAAATCTCTTAGACTCAGGAGAGAATAGTCTATGCAAATTTAAGTCATCATAATTTGTACAACACGTTAAGAGGATTACAATAGTTTTTGTTTTTATCAAAGTATTTTATTTAGTCTATTTTTTTTTCAGCAGACCAAGTCTATTATCTAGTGACACAGACACAAATTAGAACCAAAGGTAAATATTTTACAAAACTCCATTCTTAAGCTGTTTATGTTTTTGCCCTAAATATCATGCTTTCCCATAGGTATGTTCAGAGTTCAACACAAGCTCTGGTCTGCCAACTGTAACTTCACTCCATTCTCATATCAGATTATAAGTGAATAGTGACAATGCTATCAATGGGTATAACTACCAATGCACTTCAGTTTATAAATAATTCACTAACCAGGTAAAAGCTTTAAGAAATTTATAATAGTTATTTACCCATCAAAGATTAAATGACTTGGTTTCCAATTTTCTGCTCTACTCTCAAAATTGTTCAAATTCAAACTACAGCCACTTTGGAAATTCAATTTTTTTTTTTTTAAAGAAACTATTAATGCTTTTTTAAAAAAACTATAAAAATCCATATTATAGAAATTTAGAAAAACTGTCAAATTATATACTTATGCATAATTTTTTAAATTTTACTTTCAGTAAGAATTACAATTCAAAGATAAAGGAGAACTCCTGCAGAATTAACAGTAAAATGAAGATACGACAAAGACAGAAATTGAAAAGGTACTCCAGTAAAGTCAAAACACTCCAGTAGAAAAATGCTCATATACTTTCAACTAATAGTAGTATGTTATTTGAAGAAAAAAAAAAAGATACAATGTAGGTGGTCAATAAATGTTTGTTGGGCAAACGGATGAATGGACGATTGTAATAAGAACAATCTATATGTATGTCAAAAAAGTACGTATTTTCCTGCATATATTGGAGGAAAAGAACAGAAAAACTAGTAACTTCAAGTACAGATAAACCATTTGGGGGCTTTTCCAGATTTAAATTTCACATTAACATCACTTTAATGTGACTTCTATGACAAGATATTTTATACTGTACATTCCTAAAACATGAGATGCTTCTGGAGGACAGGTTATCACAAATACGTAATATTTCAAAGCATGTGATATTAAAGTCCTCATTGTACACATGGAGTCTAATTCGCTTTGGTTTCAGGCTAACCTTCAAAGTATATAAATATGTCACTTGGTTTAGCTTCATGACATTGTCTTTCTCCTTTGCAATGTTCTGAAAATATTTCATCTCAACTAGACCACAAACTCCTTATTTCTACTTATTTTGCCTCCTTCCCCAACCCCACTATGTGCTCTGATAAATACTCTCTACTAATTAATAGAATCTACTTTGTGGAAGGGAATCACTGTTTCCTTATTAATAATCTCTGCTCTCATTCACAGCCCCTATAATCTATTCCTCATCCAGTGCCAGGGGGCCACCTGTCAGACACAGGTGGGATTCTGCCACTACTCACCTTCAAACTCTCCAATGCTTTCCCATCACTCCTATTGTACAATTCCAAACTGTTAGCACGGTCTTTAAGACCGTGATATGACCTAGGGTCTAACCTCTTTGAATTTTCCTTCCTTCATGCTGCCCCATGCTCACCAGGCCCATGTCATTTGGTCTTTCAGTTCCTGTGCTGTGGCTCTTCCTTACACGTGGATACATTTTCACATGTCCACCTGGTCATCATTAAGGTTTCAACTCAAATGCCATCTCCTCCTGACCACAATGACAAAACCGTCTTCCTAATCCCCTCCTAACACAACACTGTATTTCACCTTCTTAACATTTACTTCTTAGTGTCTGAAACTTTCTAAGTACCAATTAGAAAATTTTCGAATCACTGGCCGGGTGTGGTGGCTCACGCCTGTAACCCCCAGCACTTTGGGAGACTGAAAAGGGCAGATCACGTGGTCAGGAGTCCAAGACAAGCCTGGTCAACATAGTGAAATCCCGTCTCAATTAAAAACACACAAAAAATTAGCCAGACAGGGTGGCGGGCACCTGTAATCCCAGCTAGACAGGAGAGTTGCTTGAACCCAGGAGGCAGAGGTTGCAGTGAGCTGAGATGGCGCCATTGCACTCCAACCCGGGCGAAAGTGCAAGACTGCATCTCAACAAATAAAAAAAAGGGACACTTTTCTAATTAACAATTTCCATGTCTCCTCCACTAGACTCCAAGCTCTCTAGTCCCAGCAAATAGACTGACCACCTGACTAAGTAAAATCAGTAGAAAGAGAAGAATGAGGATGTAAAGGCAATGGAAAGCGAACTTCCTCACCAATGTCAGAAATGTCACACATGCAGGAGCAGAGAGAGAGATGAGGGGCTGCTATGGTGCATCAAAATCTTTGTTCCCATTAAAAATCTTACAAATGAAAACTCAAAAGGTTTCCATATGTAATTAGTAAACTCATAATCTAAGGTACATACGTGGTTATTTTAACAACACAGCCTGCGTTTAAGTATTGTACAAACAGTGCATTTTCACATGAAATCAGTTTCCCGACTGTCAGCCACATACATCAAATTAGGAATCACTTATCACCTAAATTGGTGGATGTTTCTGTATTTCAAATTTTGACTTTTCAAGTGCTTCTGCAACATGGTATTTCTCATCCAACAATCCTATGCTTCTATACACAGGGGATTTAACTTTTTAAATGCTCAAAAATCATTTAAAAAAATTTTAGTATGACACACAGGAAAAAAGAAATCTTATGGCTGTGGATAGAAACAAAAGGAAAAGGGGAAAAAGCAAGAGTAGATCCAAGGGTGCAAGGTGAACACCTTGTCCGTCTCCTGAGCTTTTTCTTCAACTGTCCGTGTTGTCGGCATCAGGTACTTCTCCTTCACGGATAAAATATCCTTGAAAAGATGGTCTCCTTTTCTCTATTGTTTTAAACAATAGACATAATCAACAAATAAGACACATACATTACACCTATAGCAACACAAACATAAAACACTGACCCTGTGTGGGCCAATGACACACACCAAGAGAAGCGGCACATAATGGAAGGTGAAAGCCTTGGCATGGCATCAGACACCTCCAGAAAACACAACATTCTCGAATGGACTACTGAAATTGACATTTTTTATCATCTTCAGAAAAATCTGAAACTAAGAACTGAAGTTGTATCCAACTTCATAAGACTCTACCATGCATGTCTTAATATTTTCAAAAGTTCTGTGTTTCAGTTCAGCAATTCTTTTTGCTCATCTGTTCTTAAAGAGCTTTCTTTTTCAATGGCACAAACTTAGAAATTTAAAGCAACTAACAGCTTTTCTTTTTAAGGAAAGGTGAATAAAAATAGCAGTAGAATATCTAAATCAATGTCTACAATTTGGCGACATTCAAGTCAGACTTGATGCTGAAAGGAAAAAGATGAAATTGTAGGGTAACATCTTTATACCATTTTTTAAACTACAGATTAAATATAGTATGATCACTGTCTGCTCAAGTATGATAAATGAGCCCATGGAAGTTCTTGGTCAGTAAGAGGAGGGATTTGGAAGAATCATACAGGCACAGAGGCAGATGACAACGAATGGAGAAATATATTGAGAATATATCCTGAAGGCAATATGTACTCATAGCAGTGGTGGGGAGAAGTAAACCATGAAAAGAAATAGAGTAAGTGAGGAGAAATGTTATGATTGAAAAACCATTTTAAAAACACAATTCTAACATTTCCTTACTAGGAAGTTTCAATATTAAGTTGTATCATGTATAATATTTTTCAAGTTTTCAACAGGGCTCATCAGTCTTTAAAGCTAAGTTAAACTCATTTTCCTCACAGTAATAACCTTAAACCACTCTAAAGATAGTCTATAGTCCTTTATTTATTATTTATTTATTTATATTAAGTAAATTTCCCTATTTCAGATATCAGTAACTAAAAAGCTTATTAAATACAGTATGTTAGTTTCTAAATTGTCCTATATAACAATTCATTATTACTACCAATTTACCTGAGTAAAATAGCGAAATTATCCTGAAACTATTTCAAAAGTATTTTGAAACTCATGCAATTTACCTAAGAACTAGGCCAATAACTATTACACTGTTAATAAATATTTAGTATTTAAAAAATTGTTAGTAATTACATAAAAATAATTAAATGGGAACATTTTATAACTTCCCTAGAATCAACATAGGAGATTAACAATTTAAGTTTTATTGAACAACTGGAGTAAGACAGAGCCAACAAATAGCTAATGACATACCCCTTGTGTCTGTAGGGACAGAGGTGTGATACGTCGTTTTTCCCATTCATTAGGGCGCGGCTCAGGTGTGGATTCCATAAAATTGCGCTTGAGTTCACTAATGCTAGCCTGATGTTTCAGTATGTCCTCCTGGGCCTTATCCAGTTCCTAGCAATACGTAACGTAACAAAGGGGGGAAAAAAATCCAAAAGGAAAAAACCCAGTAGGACAAAAATAAAACCAAAAAATAAGACAAAGCAAACTTATGATTTAAAAAAACCATAGTAAAGCAAGAAAAATGCCAAGTCTCTAAAGCCATATTATTATCTATGAATAAGTTCATGAATTCATCAAAATTTGAAAATAAAGTCAATGCGTACTTCTTCAATGATTTACATTTTAAAGGATTCTGATTTCTTCTCTGTTTAGGATTTTTAAAGGAATAATTATTTACATTATTAGAAAGATGACATGGAACTGATCATCAAAATGGCTAATAACACTTCCTTCCAGTACCTGGATTTGAAATTCAGACTATGACTTTGTTCCGGCAAATTTACCTTTCTGATTAGGACTACTCATAAAATTGCATTCTGTAAACATAGTAAATCAAGTACAAAATAGAGAAAGGTAGAGACTCTGAAGCACAGTGGCTGGAAGAAAAAGCCAGACCAGACTCATCCCCCAACTGGAAAAGTCAAGGATTTTTTTGTGTGTTTGTTTTCAGGAAATTCCAGTGGTGGCTTTTAACTCTTAAGGAATAAAAACTACTGCTTCCAGAGGCTGCTTCTGTTTAGCCTCTTTATAAAAAAAAATGAACCACAGACTGGTCTCATGTACTTGCCAAGCACAAAAGTGGGGTCTAGCCTCCGCAATTGCCAGATGGTCCTTATCCAGACAAATATGCAAGAAAAACTACCAGGTCCATTTTCATGGGAGAGGCCCCATTAAATGGTATTTGTGGAAATTTTTCTGACTGGCTCTGATAAATAGTATTTGTGGGAATAAAAGGTAATTAGTGTTCAGGAAATGGTTTTAACCAAATTTTAAATATTTATTTATATTTCAAAAATCATAGGGCCACCTGTGGATTATAGCTTTCATCCCACTTTAAGGAACAGGTCATGCAACCAATAAAATTAGATATTCCATATTCATGCACAAGCATAGTAGCTCATCTATGAGCTTCTATAGCCATTTGCAAAAACTCATGAAAATCTAAAAATCTTTGCATGGCATGGAAAAATGACTATGGCTTGAGATCAGGCACATTTCTTGCATTGGTTGAAAGCAATGTTACTTATTACACTGTACAGCATTTTAGTAAGTTAAGCAAAAGTATATTTCCATCAGTTATCAAGCTGCCAAAAGCAACCAAACAGATTAGTCAGATTACTGAGAGCTGCAGTTCTCCATTGAATACATTGCCACATACTACTGTAAAATAAGAAGGGGAAAAAAAATGTTCTCATGTGACATGGGGAACATATTTTACATTCCTAATTGGGTGATTGGGCTTTCTTTTCCTCCTTTCCTTCTCTCTCACTTTTGCTTGTTCTAATTAAAATAATTCCTTTAATTAGCATATTCTGAAACAGAATACTGAAAGTGGACCACATTCCCAATCACGGATTTTAACCAAAAAAAGTGGGCATAGATCAAGATCAAGAGTCAAATGACTTAATGCCAGATCAATAAACAAATCTCTGTTCTGGTTAATATATATTAAGGATGAGACTGTGTTACTTCAGGTTGATGCCCTAGAGTTAACCCTTTAGGAGAGAATAGGTTTACTTGTAGAACAACTTCAAAAGTACTGGATAAAAACTTGATTCATTTGACTAAACTTTTTTTTTCCCACTTGTCACTTTGAGAACTTCTAGTAGATACAGTCCTGCCTAAGCCACCTGAAAGGAACACCGTCGGGCTGGTAACATGCACTCCCAAGTTGAATTCCCCCATGCACTGCATGCACCGTGCTCGAAGAACATTGCCGGCCAGCCTAGGCGTGACCTCCCGTCCACAGCAGCCGGGCAGCCATTACGACAGAGCTGTTTTCTTAGATTATACAAACCTCCAACATTAAATTGCTATGTCTGACATAAATATTATCCCCTTCTACTCTCAAGGAATTTTTCTGTGAAATTAAATCACACACAGGGGGGAAAAGGCAAATAAACATAAGTGTATCAATCAGCAAGCACCAAAATGACCCAGAGTTCGACAGTCTAAGACATTAAAATAAAAGAGGAATACAAATCTTATGAACTTAAAGCCACAACAAGCACAACTCACAAATAAAACCCTGAGCGTGGACCCTCCCCCCACAATACTAATGGCAGGCAGCAGCCATGAGATGTTTAACTTTAGGGAAAACTCAGCCACCTCTTCCAGCTGTGTTTCCTCTTCTTCCATCTTCGCCTGAAAAGTCACACAGCAAACGGCCAGAAAGAAGGGGAGTATTAGTGGAAACTCTACCATCAGTGCAAAGAAGCTGTATTTGAACTTAAATGGTGAACCAGTGTTACCAACCTTTATTGGGAGGCCCTCAGAAGATGCAGCGTATTAAGCCACTTTGGTCTTTCTTCACCTACAGTGTTGTACCAATGATGGAAATGATCCTTTGCAAAGGTGGAATGGAGGATGGAAGCTTCACTCTTTCTCAGTCCCTAGATTATGCTCTGCTTTTGAATATTTTGTACTCAGGAACAAAAATATGAGAGTGCAAAAATGGCATAATTCAATCTGTTCTAATTTGAAATGTCTAAAGCAACTAGTGATGGGGTAAAGCATAATGATGTTAAATTTGTTTTTAGCTTTATATTGGTGAACAAATGTTCAACCTATGATTCAGTTTGTTAAATATGGATTTCTTTCCTGGCTGGGGGTGGGGGATTGGCTTGTTTAACTAGTTTCATATTAAAATGGTGGGTATTTAAAAATAATCTTTGAAATATAACCACTTACATAAAATTCTTTAAACAAGAACAGCTTTTCATAGTTGGACATTTCTCAATATCTGATGATTCAAAAGAATGAATGTAGAAGTTTAAAACTAACAAGCACTGACTGAATTTTGACTCAATGGAAAAAATGGTGAGAATACAAATATTGACTCCCTTATCAAAGGCAAATCATTTAACCTTTACAGGTTAATTCCTAATATATATCCTTTTCCTTCTTTATTAGGATGATAGTGTTAAATCTGAGAGTTCAAAAGGTTTTCCTTTTTAACCACTCATAGTATTTTTCAGAGGTAAGCAAGGAGCTCAGAGTCTTTATCAGATGTGAAAAATGAGACATTCAATCATCTGTTAAGAAACATCTTCCAACTCCTTGGTCAACACTTAATTCCCTAAAATGTTGATCTTTGATATTCCTCAGGTAAACTTTTTAACAATTGTGGTTTCTCCTACAATGCATACTCACTGCATTATCTTTACATTTTTCTTTACGTTTGCTCTAAATTTTGTCATTTACTCTGTGTAGTGGTAGTGTCCACAGAATATGAGGCACTAAATCACCAGGCCACATTTAACAAAATAATCAAAAATATATTGTACATGTTAATGCTGACTTAGTAGCACAGAGGTAGGATACTTAAAAAAAATGTGCCTTACATAGGGGTAAAAATCCTCAAACCAAACACCTATTTAAATAAAGCAGCACTAAGAGGCCCAATCTTAGTGTTATACAGTCTAAATATTCAAAAAAAGCCATGTGTTACTTCTCACATACATTTGTTAAAGACAATAGAATAGTACCTTCCTTATAAAATACCCTACAGTGACTCTTATATATAATTACATAATTTAAGGTTAGAAAAAAAAACTAGCTAAAATTCATCTGGTCTCCAAATACTACAATAATAGGGAGATAAGGAGCTTTTGAGATGAGACTTACTAATATCAGGAGTAAAGGTTACAGATACATCCTCATAGATGCAAGAACACATTTGGGTTTCCAACAAGAGAAATAATAGTACTAAGGACTTCTACTAAGATACATCAAGAACAGTTATGTCCACTGCATCCTAAGTTCTATATCAAAACAAAAATGTTCCATTCTAAAGGAACAGCATTAATATCTGTTTGCAAAATGGAGAGACCCTGTATGGATTGTTACGGGCAATACAGGTTCCCTCCTCCCCCACACCTTCTGTTACAAATCTAGTTTGAGCTAGATATTTGTAAAATAATCCTACAATTTTGCTCCAAACTTAGAATGTGTGGACCTGGTCAACGGTATCAATGAAGGAGAAGTGTCTACACTTATTTCTCATGCACTAAAACATTGTGTGTGTGAAAATATGCAGGTATTACTATGTTGAGGGTAATCAGTGGTGAAATGTATGCACACATTTACACTCTATGTTAGGAAGGGTTTAAGATAAAGTGTATTGTGTTGACTCCACAAACTGAACTTATGTGGGCATGCCAGCAACTACTTCCTCTTCCTCTAGTTTATCATTCAAGTCACAGTCATAAGAAACATTAAAGGAGGCGGCTTTAGCCTCCAGACAGCAGAGGCATAGAGCCAGAGGAAGGGAAAAGGCAAGAGAAAAAGGAACTGACTGAGAAGCAGACAGAAGTAGCCCAAAGATGAGGATAAGGGAAGGAATGAATGAAGGGGAGGTGATTGGGACATAGTGCTGCACACCAGCGGGGAGGAAGGAGACCCAGACCTTGGGGAGGCTGGGGAAAGCAAGATATCCATCTTCATCAAGAAGGGAGGGGAAGCCAGAGGGAAAACATTTGGAGAAACTGAAGGAGAAGTAACCAAACTCAGAATCACTGTTGTCAGCTGCTTTAAGAGTCTTTCCATGGATGGGAGAAGGGCATTCAGGCTGAGAAGGGGCTATGGCAGAATCCAAGACCAAATCAGGCATAGCAACTTCAGAATCCCCCTGCTCGGATGTTTCACCTGTGGAAAGGTGCTCTAAGCTGTCTAGTGTGATCTGGTCAGCCTCCCCAAAGGGGTCTTCCTCTGAAATGTCTGAAAGCAAGTCCATTTCAGGGACAGGCAATAGGTTTGGGGAAAAAGATGAAGCACGGTGGATGAGAGGTGAAGGTGGGCATATGGAAACAGTCTATTCTCAAGTGCAAACCCATGATTGAATATGAAATTACACAATGGATACAACCAAAGGAAAAACAGATGCAAGAGAGAAAGAGGACAAAAGAAAAAATGAGTAGTTAGTGAAAACTTTTACTTTAAAGAAGGGATTATATTAACACAGTGTAGTTAGAAATGAATTAAATGACCCATTTTTAAAAAGACTAGACTACTTGTGTCACATAAAATTTATACATATTGACTCATTTAATTATTTTCAAACTGATTGCAAATAAATCCCATGAAACTCAAACAGCATTATTTACTTTTAAACCTGGTTGCTGACAGACACTCAAAGCATTAGCAAAAATACCAGTGTACCCAGTTGTTTGCCGAAGACAAGCAGGATTTCCTTTAAAATTTAAAAGACCTTTTTCATTGTTTAAGGAAAATAACAAGATATGTCAAGTTAACTAGGCAAAATGGAACAGAGATATTCTGAAATGCTGAGCTCTTCTGTTTCTGATGTAAGCAGTCACTCTCCTGGGTGCCTTGTTAGCAAAAATTTTAAAAAAACTATCCTGAAAACTTGTCAGCAATTGAAAGAAACCTTGTTGGACACAATTTCTGTTATTTTTAAATGAATTCCCAACCAAATCATTTTTCCATATGACAGTCACAAATTCTTTAACAATGGAATGTCGATGATTTGATGTCACTTGCTATACAAGTAGCACTTGACCTTGTGGCACGAGACTGGGCCCATGTGGTGGTTGGTCTCTGAGACCTTCTCCATGCTGGGCCTCAGAGGCTATCAGAGCAGCAATACCTGAGGCACTGGCAGCTACGTCATCTAGCAAGTCTTTATACATTTATGTCTTTAAAATTTTGAAAGTTAAAATTTAGAAAACACTATACAGCCGGGCTCAGTGGCTCACACCTGCAATCCCAGCACTTTGGGAGACTGAGATAGGTGGATCACTTGAGGTCAGGAGATCAAGATGAGCCTGACCAACATGGCGAAACCCTGTCTCTACTAAAAATACAAAATTAGCTGGGCGTGGTGGCAGGCACCTGTAATCCCAGCTACTTGGGAGGCTGAGGCAGGAGAATTGCTTGAACCTGGGAGGCAGAGGTTGCAGTGAGCTGAGATCGAGCCATTGCACTCCAGCCTGGGCAACAAGAGGGAAACTCCATCTCAAAAAAATAAAAATTAAAATAAAATAGAAAACACTATGAATCAATATGATGGATTCATTTGTTTTTATCTGTGCTTACTTCCAATGTTACATGCAAAAAAAAAAAAAAAGTCACTTTGTGTAGAAAAGAGATCTGAATTTAAAGGCTTCTCAAATCAATATTCAAGTGATGTTACTGCCCAAGGTAACAAAAGATAACAGTGACACATTTGAGAACACAATATGGGTTACTTCTCCATTTCACTATGGTGTACGCACAAGATAAAGCCAAAAGCAACACACCATATTCTCACTCTCTATTCACAAAACAATTACCCTTTCTTAAGAATTTCATTAATTATAGATTATTAATGAAAAATACCTTTGTTTATAAAGATTATCTTTGGTGATATCAAAAAATTCAAGTCAATAATTAAAACCATCAAGAAGCTACATTTTAAAATTTACTTGGACCAAATCAAAAATAAATTTCAAATAATCATAGCTTTTCTACTTTGGGGACTCAATTAGATAAGGTGATTATGAGGACAGTCAAAAAGGCCAGTAAATTACTTACTTGCACTAAAATAATTTACATCGAAATATTCTGCTTTGAACCACAATCAAACAAAGGTTAGAGACCACTATGCATATCTGAAAACAGAAATGACCAACAGAGAACATAGAACAACTGATTTTAAATACTTGATTTCTGAAACAGAAAATACAACAGATAGCCTCTAGGTTAAGTAAATGTTTAAAACCACAACCTGTGTGAATTTACCATACCTTTCCTTCAATGAGCTGTAAATGTGGGGCTTTAGCTGGGCTTCTCACTTCCCTCCTGCCGTCCCCATCTTGTACCACGGCAATGCTGACAACTCCAGGGCCATAGGCTGAAATCTCCCCAGCAGCATCAGGAAAATCCTTCATAAGACTTTGGTCCACGACACCAATCGGAGCTAGTAAAGAGTGACAATTCTGGATTATTTTAGGACATGTGAATCGTAAACTTTATGGAAAATTTTCCCCTTAAAGAGAGAAACAGGAAGCATATAAACAGTGAACAGGAACAGAGACATTGCTTGAACTCTGAAAATACCTACCATATAAAATAAACAAATTTTTAAACGTTTACCAAATTCTGAAAGTATTCTGAGTTTTAATGCACTGAACTACACCAGGGTCTCAAATCACAGGTATTGGAAGGATATAGTCAGATCATGGAACCGGCCAGTAGGAGGAGCTCTAAGACCAGCTGAAACACCAGAGTTAAGGCAAACAGAATTACGAGGTAAGCAGTATTTTAACTCTTTGGTCTCCTCTGATTTATTTCTGAATCTATCTATTGCAACAAATGATTATGCAATTATTAAGATGATTTGCTCCAACAAGTTTTAAGAATTGCTCCATGAAGGAAACTTTAATCTGAATACTATTCAAAAGATAAAATAGTAAATAAAAGACAGTAAAGGTAAATTGTAAGGATTTTAACTTCTGTATTTATATTCAGTATTTTTTATTTTTTAATCCCCTTCCTCAATGTCTCAACATGAACTATGGTAAGTCTATACATAGACACCTCCCTCATCCCAGAAAACCTGGCCCTCCTGTGCTCTCTTCTCTCCTAGAGATAGGCAGAAATGTATATTGTATTGAAAATTCTGGGCCGGGCGCGGTGGCTCAAGCCTGTAATCCCAGCACTTTGGGAGGCCGAGGCGGGCGGATCACAAGGTCAGGAGATCGAGACCACAGTGAAACCCCGTCTCTACTAAAAATACAAAAAATTAGCCGGGCGCGGTGGCGGGCGCCTGTAGTCCCAGCTACTCAGGAGGCTGAGGCAGGAGAATGGCGGGAACCCGGGAGGCGGAGCTTGCAGTGAGCTGAGATCCGGCCACTGCACTCCAGCCTGGGCAACAGCGTGAGACTCCGTCTCAAAAAAAAACAAAAAAGAAAGAAAAAAGAAAATTCTGTCATATTGCAGATCAAACCAAGACTACCTCAAACATTAGCAAGGCAGAGTAGTAGGTGGCAGGACTTCTGTCCATCTGTAGCTCCTCCCCAAACAACAGAACTACACAAGGTCATTTCACTTTACATAAAGAGTACTCTACAGACACCATGAAGTTTACTCTGCTTCCATGTCCCAAGGGAAGCCTGGTCAACACAAACACCTTTAGACTGCAAGCTCTTAGAGGGCAGGATTGTGTGTGAGCTACCATACTGAACTTGAGAGGCCTCAAGCACTTTGAATACATGTATCCCAAAATACCTCTCAATCCACAGCCTTCACCTGCCCTGTCCAAAACTTAATTCTTTCCCAGTCCTGCTTTTTTCACAAAATGCTCTTCTCATATTTGCTCCCATTTGCTTGAACCGGGAACATGGACATCTTCCAGGACTCTACCTTCACCCCTTAACACCAGCAAGTCCAACAAAGTCCTTGCATATATTTCTAAATGTGGCCAGTTCTTCCCATTTCTAATTCTACCACCTCAACTTGGGGAGATTTTCCCAGCCCTTAAATACTCATACTTGGAATGCCCATACCAAATCACAGTCAACATTAGAATAAATTTGCATTTTACATTAAGTATAGTTATTTTCCAGCAGTTTTGTTGTTGTTGTTGTTTTGTTTTTGAGACAGTCTCGCTCTGTCACCCAGGCTGGAGTGCAGTGGTGCGATCTCGGCTCACTGCAACCTCCGTTTCCTGGGTTCAAGATATTCTCCTGCCTCAGCCTCCTGAGTAGCTGGGATTATAGGCACGCACCACCACGCCTGGCTAATTTTTTGTATTTTTAGTAGAGATGAGGTTTCACCATTTTGGTCAGACTGGTCTCAAACTCCTGACCTTGTGATCTGCCCTCCTCGGTCTCCCAAAGTGCTGCGGTTACAGGTGTGAGACACAGTGCCTGGCCTCCAGTGGTTTGTTTTCTAATAAAAAAAACTTCTAACAAGATTTAAATAATTTTCCCTTGGAAAGTATATGGCTATGATTAATACTTTTGCTTACAATTATGATTTCTACACACCTATTATACATACTCAGAAATTTTGCAAAACGCAAAAATCTGACCTAGAAATGGCTTCAAATGTAATGCTATTAAAATATGAATATCAAATTAAAAGTTATTAAATAAAGTTGACAAAATGCTGACTTTGCATACTTTTAAATACTTATTAATTTCAGCATGCAGTTTCTTGTATTTTGGAGCCGATACATTTATTCGGGTCTTAAACATCTGAGAAGATTGTAGGCCCTGGCACAGAGCCCAAGATACCAAATGGCTAATTGGCCTACTCCCACAAAAGGGAAGACCACCATTGCTTTCACCTGGGCCATTCCTAACCAGCCTGCCTGCTTCCTCGCTCAATCTAATTGCGCTCTTGCATCAAATGATTTTTTTAAACAAGATAACACTGTGCTCTTGTGTGCACATAAACCCACACAAACCCTTCAATGGTTTCCTAGAGCACATGGAATAAATAAAATCCACATTCTTCACCATGGCCTCCACGGCCCTGTATGACGTGACCCAGGCTTACCTCTCCCGCCACTTCCTAAGATCTGACTACACTTGCCTTCTTTCTGTTCCAGGACTGTATCCAGCTCTCCCTTGCCTTATAGCTTCATCGTTGCTGCCTCTGCTACCTGGAATGCTTTATTTTTAAATATCTCTTGTCCTTTCCTTGGCTGCCTCCTTCTCATCCTTCATGTCTCAACCGACCTGGTTCTTCCTCCGACAGGCCTTCCTTCGCTGATGATCCTATCTACGTCATGTCCCTGTTCATTATACTTTCCACCGTCAGGAAATCACTGGTTCCTCAACCCCCAAATGCATCTCAGTTGTTGGTTCTCTCAAATGACTGATTTGCCTTCTTTGGGGTTTGATTTTCTAATCTCGGAGGAGACGCCTTGTCCTAAAACAGGTGTTCTACATTGATTTTCATTTTGATATTTGATCTTTAGATTGAATCCCGGTTTTCACTTGCCATGTAATCGTAAGAGGATTTATTTTAATTTGCCAAACTTTAAAGTGAGGCTTGTATACCTAAATCATTCTAGCCTCACTTATAAAGTAAACAGGAAAAGAAAATACAACACATGTCAACTACAACAACAAATGGTATGTTGATAAAGAGTGGCAAAGAAAATAAAGCTCAGTGCCAGGTTACAGCCTAGCTTTGCTTTGGGGGGAAAAAACGGAGAACATAAGCCCTAATCAAAGAGTTCACTGGCTGTCTGGTCATGTATTGGCATTAAAAGCCTCCTATTTTTCACAATAACACAATAATCCTTTTGATGACTTACCCATCTGATGAATTACGGTGTCCAAAACACAAAGGGAAAAATAATGGATTACTGTGCCATGTTTGTTGTTTTTACTTGTAAAAATCATTGTTTTCAGATACAGACCTCCTATAACCCTCTGCACTAACTGCCCATACAAGATGGTGGATTTCCTGGAGCACAGTTTGTATACCTCAAAGAAAATGCTGTTTTACTGCTCTTTTTAAATGCTAAACTTTGCAATATAAGAGTTATATAGCCTCATAGTTTCAAACAAATGCTGAAAACAGACAGTGTTCAGAAAGAGCAATGATTTCTCTCAGGGCACTAAACAACAGTGACTGCATTTATTCAGTACTTGTATAAATTCTCTGTGGCAAGGGGCAAGACTTGTGAAATATTTACATGGGTTGGCACATTTTTCAGATTTAGCTGGAAAAGTGCTCAGTTGTTGAAGAGCTAAAATGATACTTTAGCAGCTATAGTACCTTAATAATTAACTGAATTTAAATCATTTCCACAATTTTGGAAATTTGTTTAAAGCACAGTTCACCATCCCCTCATACATTTCAGGATTTAATAACTATATACCAAAATCCCAACCAACAAATCCTAGCAAATATCTCTATGTGTCCACCTGCATTTGTTTTCCAAGTTTTTTTCTAGGAAAAGCAGATGAAGGCAATGCATATGAATCCTTCACTATTAAGAAAGTTTTTTTTTTTCATCTGTTAGCATTATCTTGCCTGTTCTACTCTAATTATTTAAAATATAAGTTGTTCGAGTTTATATTTCAGAAAAATATAATAAACAAGAAAAAGGTTTCTGCTAATAAGTACTAAAATATAATTTTCAAATTTAGTATTATTATAAATCTATATATATACATATATATATTTTAGTTCAATCAACCAAAACTGTTGGAAAACTGTTTCTTTGGGTAGAAAATTATCCATACTAATCATTTTCTATTACAAAGAAAGAATATTCCTTCATAAGGCATTCTAATATAAATTTAACCTTAGCTCTTTTATAGAAATCCTATTTTTAACCCATTTTGGACCACATAATTTATATATATATATATATTTTTTTTTCTCCATGTGTAGTTTATATAAAACTTATTTCATGTGTAGTTTACAAAAAAACTTCAATTTGTATCTAATTAGAATTCTAACAGAAAAAAAAATTCACATTTATACATATTTTCCCTTGGGTTAAAGAACAAACACATTATATTTGCTTTTTGTCAAAAAGCTGTATTTAAAATGAAGCCTTTGAAGCTACTAAAGCTTTCTCATATGATGCAAAGTTTGGTAAGCTTCAGTAAGTTGTTTCACTCATGAACATTTGCTGATGAAGGGAATGTTTTATGTTCCTCTGAATTAAGGTTCATATGCTACCATACCAAAAAACCCTTAGAATTACATTTTCCCATTAATTAACATGTTCAGGAAATTGAACATAAAACACATCACGATCAAGAGAAATCAGTAAAACAAACGTGTCCAACATCTCATAAATGAGAACTCTTAACGAATATTTGTGTGCACTGACAATACAGGTTGAGTATCCCTTATCTGAAATGTTTGGGACCAGAAGTGTTGTGGATATCTAGTATTTTTTGTATTTTGAAATATGCCTTATATATACTTAGCAGCTGAACACCCCAAATCTGAACATATGAAATCTGAAATGCTCCAATAAGCATTTCCTTAGAGCATATGTCAGTGCTCAAAGACTTTCTGATTTTGGAGTATTTCAGATTTTCAGATATGGAATGTTCAACCTGTTTGAAAAAAAAAAAAAAAGAAAAAAAGAAAAAAGTATGACAACTTCAAAAAACAGTAACAACTCCAAAACACAACAAAATTATTTTCTTGTAGGTGTAATAGCATTTTATTTACTCGGGGAAAAAATGGCTATCCCTGTAGGGTGTTTCTGGTGGCTTTATTTACTGGATTAACATTTTCTGACCTCACTGGATTAGAGAAAGATGAATGAAAATCAAAATTATCATAAATGTGTTTACCTCCATCTAGACTCCTGGAGACCCGTTTACTAGAAGTGCGCTCAAAGTGTGGTGCTGGCCTATCTATGAGGGTGCTGGCCTGGCGGGTCTGTGCTTGGGTGCGGCCACTATAGCGGAATTTGGACCCCAAGGTCAGGAACTTGGCTTTTGGTGGCTGCTCCGGAGAAACAAGTCTATAGGAGGAAAAAAAGAGACAGAGAAAGGGGAAGCAAAATTAGATTTTATGAATTTTTTTAAAAAAACTTTAAAGCTATGTACTTTCGTATCTCATTTTAAGTATGATTACTCAAAAACTAAACTTTCTGAAGAACATTATTTATAAACCCTCCTACACCCACAGCTTTATGATGATGATGATTAAATCCACATTCATGTATTCATGAATGATGTTCTTCTCAACCTTAGCAAAGAAACAGCTGTTCTCAGTATATCAAAGGTTATTTATTTGTGTTAGCTTAAATCATTTATATAAACACATGTCTGAATTTTTGCTTCTAGCTATAAGCGCCAAGTAACAATCCATTACCATTAGTAATTCTTAATATTTATGCCTATTTCTCCTGGGGAGAAAACATCTAACTCAGGAATCTGTTCCATTAAGTGATTCTTTCCCATGAACACACCACACAGTGGATCTGTAGAGATGGCTAACATCCCTTCTTGCCAGCATAATTCTACTGCTTAATCCCTGGGTTCATAATGAATGAACTCAAACTTTCTTGAGGTCAAATATTCCCAGGCTTATACAAAAGCATGTTTTTAGTAAATGGGGCAATCTTTTTGGGAGTTCAACTGAAATTATTTTGTGCTCTTTGATCAAAAGTTGATAAATATCTTAACAGAAACACAATCTCAGAGCTCTTAATTGATTATATAGGAAGACTTTCGTTGACAATTCAAAAATATGAAGAATTCCACCAAAACTTTTCCTATCATTTACTATGGAAGAGTGATTTCTTAAAGAACTCTATCATTTCAAGTATTTCTAGACCCTCTGTAAAATTTTTTTAGAAATTGCCTTCTGCAATAAAGCAAAAAAAAAAAAAAAAGGAATCCCTATACAACACTCAGAATGGCAACAGGCTCTATTATATACAACGATTAGAATGGCAAAAGGCTCTATTATATACAACACTTAGAATGGCAACAGGCTCTATTAAATGCTCCAAGCAAGGGTGTCAGCTCTATTCACTTCATTTCATTTCATTATTTCTTTCATTTCATTTTTTGAGGAGTCTCGCTCTGTCACCCAGGCTGGAGTACAGTGTTGCAATCTCGGCTCACTGCAACCTCCACCTGCTGGGTTCAAGTGATTCTCCTGGCTCAGCCCCTCGAATAGCTGGGATTACAGAGGCACACGCCACCACGCCCAGCTAATTTTTGTACTTTTTAAAAGTAGAGACACAGTTTCACCATGTTGGTCAGGCTGGTCTCAAACTCCTGACCTTGTGATCCACCCGCCTCAGCCTCCCAACATGGTAGGACTACAGGCATGAGCCACTGTGCCGGGTCGTATCAGTTTTATTATTACATCCTTGTTCCACTAATATCAATCTAGCTGATTGGCTATCAATTAATAGACGTGTTTATAGATTAATGGCTTCAATCTGCAAGCCACTGTAATTTTCTAAAGAAATCATTTGTACCTTTCATGATAAACTGAAACAGAATAAATTCCACTGATCTGATTCAAAGCAATCTACAAAGTAGGACTGGCCCTTTGTGTTAGACATATTCTTTTTACAGTGTTGTAAGCAATGTTATGCAAGGTTTAAAAATTTAAAACTGCTCTTGTTAACCATTATATCAAAAGTTTGCAGGAGCAAATTGGTCTACTTTTAAATTGGATTCCATGGTACATTAGCAAAAATGAGGAGGCTTGAGGCTTTGCACAACTAATGCATCTCAGAAACTCCTGCTAGAAGAATACAAGAAGAGGACAACACACAGGTGAGGAATACAGGTCTCAGAATCAGGCGGCCCGGCCCCCATCTCTGCTCAGATGCCTGGCTGCTGTGCTCCTCCATAGGCACCAATCTCTAAGAAATCAGTTGTCTTGCCTAGGGCGAGAAATAGACTACCACGATATAAAGCAATCAATTCTGTGTCTGACTCTAATAAATGTTTGAATGCTAGCACTTGTCATTTCTAAACAGATTATTGCTTTTTTTTTTTTTTATCATTATGTGACAGGGAAAGCTGCTGTCTGCCCAGTTTGGACCTGTGTCATAAATGTCATCTACTAGCTTTACATGAGCTGGCTCAGGTTGTCTGTCTGGAGGAGAAATTTGTTATGGCTACCCAAGAAAAATTATAAAGTTTTCAAAGATTTATATGATCAGTGTAACTGAGTCGGAGGGATTCAAGTATATTTTAGGAGCTATATTTCTCCTCAAAAATTAACATATTAGTCTTGAAAAATAGACACTAGTCAATTTAACTTCAAGAAATAATCATTTGTGCCAGCTGATAATTCACATTAAAAATAGCAAACTGTGGTACCAAACTAATAATAATAATAATGGTGAAGATAAATCTTATGATATGCCAGAAATGGTTCTAAGTTGTTTCATGTGTTATCTTATTTAATTTTCAAAACAATCCTATGAGGTAGATACTAGTATTACTATCACATACGGCTGATGGAAGTGAAGCAGAGAGGTTGGTAACGTACCACGGTCACACAGCTCGTATTTGGTAGAACAGTGTTAGACTGTAAGTCCAGAGCAAAAACCTTAAAGGTGAAGGATCTAGATACACAGCTAGCTAAACTGCAGTGATAGAAACTGAGGAAATGGAGAAAACAAAGATAAGCAAACTCATGTAAAAAATATGTCCTTGAAGAAAAGCATAAAAAGAGAAAAGATATAAGCTAAAGATGGCTAGATGATCAAAGATTTTATATAATATATATATATATATTTGTTGTTGTTTTTTAAAGAGCAAGATGTGGACATATTTTTTAAAGAGCAAGATGTGGACATATTTATTGGCCAAAGAAGCTAAAGGTACCCACTAGAGAATAAATAATTTACAAATTATTTTGTGAATTTTGCCTCATTTGTGAGGCATGAAATGAGGGATCAAAGCAGAGGAATGATGATCTCCTCCTTGAGACAGGAGAAGAGTGAAAGAATGAATGGGAGGAGAGAGAGGCGATGCTTCATTAAAGACAAAAGGGAAGAAGGGAAGGTGCATGAAACCAAGAACACTCATGACGCACAGCTTCGACTTTCAGTGACCGGCACAGTGGAGGGCATCAGAAGAGGAAGCAGGGGTGCCTAGGGCCTCACGAGGACAATAAGCATTTGGAGTGGCAACGGAAGTCAAAGGACAAATTGCTTGCCTAGCAGCACTGAGGATCCAGCTCATGCTGGAAATTATTTATCTGTAAGAGCACTGATCCATACAGTTGTGCTATTTTTTGTTATATAGACTAACTGCATGTGTCACAACAATTGTACTATTTAAGGTAGCACTTGACAGCACAGGTCCAAAAGTGGTGAGGTCAGGACACAGGACTAATCCAGGACTAGCCGACAGACAAGGTAAATGTGCAAAGAGGAGAGTAGTTTGAGGCGGTCATAACACTCCTGACAAAGCAGGCAGACCACAGGGTTCAAGTTGGTTTGGGAAAGAAGTTAAGTCAGGAGGCAGCTGATGAGAATATCAAAGTGAAACCTAAGAGGAGGGATAGTGGAAAGTCAAGAATGGCAGCAGGAATGAGGCAGTGTGGCTGTGGTGGAAGGAAAGGTGGTTAGTCAGAAAGTACAGTTAGACAGCTGCAGGGGCAGCTCAGTTCTGAATGATGACAATGCATGGACAGAAATGGACCTGGGAGGGACTGCAGACAAAGGAGAAGAGGCGAGGGGAGAAAAGAGTCCAAAGGCAGGGGGGGAATGCATCTGCCACATTTCCCACCACTACCACCTCCTAATTCACAGAGGTTACTAAAAGCAATACCAAGCTGTTTTCTTTCTTTCTTAGAAAAAAAGAGAGATGGAGTCTCACTATGTTTCCCAGGCTGGCCTCAAACTCCTGGGGTCAAGCCATCCTCCCACCTCAGCCTCCTGAGTCAGTGGAATTACAGGCGTGTGCCATTATGCCCAGCTTCTGAGCTGTTTTCCTAAAATTACCTGTAGAAAGTATGATGCTCCACGCACACTTTCCATAGTCTTTTCGCTGCCCGGTGGTTGGGCAGTTTGAATCCAATAGTACTCTCAAACTGTTCCAGCTGGAATAAATTCATACAACAAATCAGCACATTTCCTTAAGAACTGACTAGAAGTCATGGAAAAGCATGGATTCAGATGTTCCTGTTAGAAGCAATTATTCTTCTCAAAAAAGGTAAATATTGTATGTCTAATATGATCATATAAAGATGAATTTCATAGACTGCAATACTATTTTCTACAAAAAGCAAGTAACAACTACTCACATAAACCAACTATCCTTCAATGTTCACTGAAACTCATTTTATTGCTTTCCTAATGATCACAACTTAATTGATTCAACAAGAAAAAAACAAGCCCACACCTTATCACGTTTTCTTTTCTGTAAAAAGCATGATGGTTGCTTTTTTAAAAAACAGACCAGACATATATATACTGCAATTTTACCATTAAGAACCTTGACCTTTTACAATGGAAGAATAAATAGTTTATTTTCTTAAAATTTGAGGAAAGAATTTTTTAATTCATGGTCGTAAAGAGGCCGACTAAGAACAACTGACCAGAAATGTCTTTGCTTACCTCTGCTGGTCTGACTTTAATATAGAAGTTACTGCGTTTATAGGAAATTTTTAAGATTTTCGGCCAAGCAAAACGATTGATTCGCAGTCTGTCTTTGTAAATGAGAAGTCCATTAGCACACACGCCCAGCTTGATGTCCACACCTTCTGAGTCCTGCCAAGCATAACCCAATTAACCATGGTTAGAGCTGTGAAAGTTACACACATCAAGAAGCTAATTAGCTCCCTCAAATCATGATCAGGAATGCCAGTTTACCAGGTTTGTATTTAAATTTTAGTGACAGTATGCACGTTAATGAAAACTACGGCGCACACACGTACATGTTAAATTTATACATCTTCAGTGATCAGGTGTGATTTGCCAGAGTTATGACAACGTGACTATAGGACATGGTGTCCTTCAAAAGGCGTCATGCATGTGTTCTCAAGCTCCACTGTAGGAGCTAACAGAGAAGAAAGGAAGCAGAACTAGAGATCCTGAAGATATGGGAAACAAAATGAGCTTTCCCTGTAGGCTAGTCCAGCCTCAGGGACAGTCTGTTGGCCTGCCCTAAGATGTGTTCAACCATTTTCCTTTAGGTGCATTTACCTCAGATGGATTACCCTAGCTAATAGCTCTTAAAATTATGCCAATATTTTGCAAAACACTAATCCCTCACAGATAATTTCTCTTCCAGGCTGACAGTGCTGAAATCTCTGAATTCATTCAAGCAGTTTTTCATTAACTTAGAACGCTGACATCCAGTTCTCATTAGGCATTCCTTTGGCTGGCATGTTTCAAAGGACTGCAGACTATTCTTGAAGTTATTAATAGTTTTCTTTCCCTAGAGCTTTAATTTGGAATCATTGACAATCTAGAATAATCACAGGCCTAAAGGAGATGTTTTAAAAGCCAAACAAATTTACAGACAAAAGTGAAAACCTGTCTCCTCACATTTCAAGTAGTGAAGATCTAAGATGCATGTATTCAAAATATACAAATTATTGTTTATCTCTAAGAGGAGAACTGGCTCTCATTCAACATATGTAAAACTGAAGACTACTGCTCAAAGATATTCACATTTTCAGAAATCACAAACAATACGAAACAAATTCTCACAAAAAATGCTGTAACAAACCCCATATTTAGTCTAACTCCCAATTTAATAAAAGGACATTTTGTCTGTCTTATTACTAAGAACATTTTATACCATTTAAATCAGTTTTTCATAAATAAAAGTATAGTATTAGCTAACTGATGCCAGTTGCTTTCTCTGCTGTGACACTGGAATAATTCATATACACAAATAAAATTACATTAGACCAACTTGAGCCATTTTAAAAAATCCAATCGATTGCTTTACTCACCCTTATCTTGGCAGCCACAATTCTCTCTAGGAACAGACTAAAAAGCTGGGGTGAATCAGGCACAGGTGCCCAAGCAACTTGGCACCAGACCCCATGGTGTGTTTGCCAAAACCATCGCTGCCCATGGCCACAGGGAGCAAGGCAGAAGATTGCCTGAGACGGCATGTTCTCACCACCAGCGGGGAAGCAACCCGCATTTGAAACATTGAATGAGCCATCTCTAGTCTGAAGCAACCTTGGGATGGGACAAGGAAACTATTTTATCTGACTTAAAAACAGACACAACTCAGATTCAAGTAAATCAGTTGATTTTCGTTGTTCTATGTAATTATTTTAGAATTACCAGTATTTGTGTGAATAGAAACGACAGATGAAGGGTAGGAAATGAAAGAGGAAAAGGCGGGCCTAGATCCTTCATATGTAAGTTATGCCACATGGTAGCAAAATCAGAAAAATAAACGAATGAAAAGAAGCACCCCCTCTGCATTGCTCACTGCCCCATATGGAGTTGGCTGGCTTTCAAATGAGTTTGGTATAAAGAGAGTTCTCGCAAAGGATCAGGAGAGGAAGGAAAGGGAGGTCAGGGTGTTTAATACCCAGATTCCCTCCCTACATGGTCACCTCAGGCTGACCGTATCCCTCTGACAATGGGTCCCCGCAAAACAGTCTTCTCCACGTGTCTCTCCTTGGGAGTTCTGGAAACCACTCTGCCCTCCCTCCTTCAGACAGAGTAGGATAGCTACAGATATTAGCCCAGGGCTACCACCAGTGTCCTGCTTCTCTTACGGTTTCTCTGCACCTTTGTTGAGATTCCTTTTATTTAACACTCTCCAACTCATCCTAACATGAATATGACATTACAAACTCTTCTAATTAAAAAAAAAATCTGATTTTAAGTCAATGAAAAATTTTAAAAGACACAAAACTTTAAACAACATGAAATATGAAAAGTTCTTTTAAACTGCCACATATATTCTTTTCAATAAGCCACAAATATCTTGCTTATCAACTATTATCTAAGGAGTCTATCAGATGATAAACAGAATGAAGGTTACCTTGAATTTTTTTAGTGTTCTGCTCCTAACTACACAGCAAGAAAGAATATTATACTTAGAACAGAGTCCACAATTTCTTACTTTTCTAAGACACAACATTAAAAACAAGAATCCTGAAACCTTAATTGGTTTCTAACTAATGATCAACAAAGTAGAGCTGCAAGATTTACATGTGGCAAGAATGGCAGGGTCTAGAGGAAGAGAGGTTTGGTAGGTCATTTTGGTCCCAAACTTATTTTTTCCTTCCTCCCTACTTCTGTTTCTTGACTAACATAGCCCGTCCCCATTATATAGAAAACGATCTGAAAAACACTGGAGTGTTAAGACAATCTGTTTCACCTCCTACTAGAATTTATCAGAAGGTATCAGGCAGATAGACCGTTTAACAATACACAGCCTTAAACAAGTCATTCTCTGAACTGTTTTATGTAGCTGTAAACTAAAAAACATTCAAACTTTAAATGAGATGGTATACTTCTAAGAAGTGAGACGGTATGAAAGTACTTTTTAAAACAAAGGGCATACAGCATCTAGTATTTAAAAACGCTGCTGCCAGAGACTACTTACTGACAGAAAAATCTTATAGTACCAAGTTAAAAAAAAAACTAACAAAAATGATGCTCATAGTATGGCCCCATTTTTAGAAGGCATGTGAATTCAAGTGACCAGGGATCTAAAAAAGAAGAAAAAATGTATTAAGAGTGCTTATTTCTGCACGAAAAGATTTACGTGATCTTTAATTTCTTCTGTCTCTATTTTCTATGATGAATGTATTAGTTTTATAATAAAGAAAAATATTTAAATAAAGGAAGCCACTGAGGAGAAAAAGAGTGCTTTGTAAATATGAAGTATGATTAATAACACAAATGCAAGAATTATTAATCAGAGGCCTAGGGAGCTTTCCGAGATTTCTCAAATCATATAATCTGGGCTTCTAAACAACACCTACAGATTGGCAGGGTCTTTTAAAACCAGGCAACCATAAGAACACGTTGACACTGGACATATTTTTTTAAAACCAAATCCATAGTTCACCTTGTCTGTCATTCTTCTCCTTGACTCTCCCCACTACATAATCATCTAAACTAGAATCATGAAGTAAGTGATATTGTTACTGGCAAGCAACTATAGTAATGTGCACTTACACATTTCACCTTTTGACTTATTTCTCTATGAACAGGATTCGTCTATTCATAACTCATACCCTGTGACTGTCGTTAGTATACCGGAATGTTTATGCTTGCAAAAATATGTATGTTACTACTGCCTAATTTATCGTGTAAAGTAGTCTATGAAGGTCTGTTGTATGTTTCTCAAACCCCCCCTTAAAAACGTAAATAAATGTCTTTTAAATAACTTTTAAAATTATTTTTTCAAGCATTATATTTTTGAGATTTTGATCTTTTGGGATTATGGTGTTCATTCGGGATTATGATTGGCTTCCCATGTCCCCATTGTCCCACTCTTTTACCACCTTTCAAATTAGACTGAAGGTGCTTTATCACCCAGAGCCTGGGCCCGCCTACATTATCTTTCACAAAGTACAAAACATACCTATAGGGAAAAGACCAACTCTAGGGCTCCTTCATCACACAGAAGTGTTTTGGAAAGTGGTCCTATCCATGCTGCTTTTGCTCTTTCATGGTTGCTAAGGTCTCCTCTCCTCTCCCAAGACAAAGGTGGGAGAGGGAACTGGGACAGACACAGCACTTGGCCTAGCAGAAGCTGAGATGCAGAATAAACCAGGAAAAGAGGTAATAAAAAAAAAAAAAAAAAAAAAAGGCTGACAAGGTGTGTCACAGTAAGTACCTATGAAAGGGCATTAATTAAAAAGACTGAGAAAAGAAGTGGTAGAGGGAGAATACATGGTCCCTCCCACAACCATACACCCTGTAATTAGTCACCAAGGAAATATTCCAGAGACCTTCAACTGAAGGCAGATATCCTTTCCCCAAAAATAAGCTGTGCTATCCTGAAACTGGAGCCCTCTCAACACTTCAGTCAACAGACTGCTATGATGCTACTTCCCGTTACATTTACAGTACCTTGGCATGATGTAGGTCAACACCGTACATGGAAAGCCTCTTTGCATTTTCTAAGAACTGGGAATCAGCTTGTGCTGGAGATAAGCCCCTGAGAATCAAAAGAAACAGTATTATCTTATTAATGGATGCAGAGCAAATGTAGTCAGAATGGGAGGAGTGTCTGCACTCAGACGGTTTGGAGGAGAGGAAGTAACCCAGCCAAGTCTGCAGAAAAGTAGGAAATAGTAAGAAAACAACTCTCAACCTCTAACATTTTTCTCTTAAGATCCTATAATCTAAACCTGCTAAACTGCCTGGAGGTATACCTCCACTCTTACCCCTTTTATCTTAAAAAGTTGCTTTTGATTATTTCCACTGAGGAAAAAAGCCCCAGCAATAGGGTACAACATAAGTACTGGAGAATAAAAAACAGTGATCTCATCCTTCTGTGATAAACATATTCTTACTCCTTCACTTTATTTCACTAAAGTTGATTATAATAAAGATTGAAATTACTTGTATTTGATTTTCTACCGACGATAGGTAACACAAATCACATTCTGTCCATACTAAAATTTTCCATTCCTATCTATATGCCCAACTAAACAAACTTTAAGCTCCTAAAGAGCAAGACCATGTCCCATTAATTTTCACATTCCCCATGGCATGTCAGTACCTGATATTTCATATTAGAATTATACAACAAATGTCTATTGAGTAGAATTTAAGTAAATTCACAAGAAAATATTTAGAGTCAAATACCATATTTATTGTTTTTTAAAGAAAAAAAATCAATGAATGTGGCCTGTTTAAAAACCTAATTTTTGAAAGTTCCTTTCAGATCACTTTAGTAAATATTTAATAAAACTATAACTTTGCAATATACAACAAATTATCATTTTGTAGTTAGCGTTATAAAAATTTGTGTAAAAAGTCCATTTTTTTTCACACACATATAAATGTTCTCGAAGCGTAATATGGTATTAATGTAATGTAAGTAATTTTAGCTAAACCAATGGGTCATCTTCCAGTGGAATTACCTGTACATTTCAGTTACTATTCCTATGTCCATCACCACCTGCACTGGTAATTCAAATCCCAATGCCTCCTTATCTCCCTGGCTTTCTTACCACATATAGTAATAAGGACAATTACAAGGCAGAAGAAATATAACGTAAACGTCAATTAAGTATGTGGGCATGTTTGTCTCCAATGTGTATATGTTAAGGGGACAGGGAGAAAAAGGTGTCATGGGGAAAAGCACATTTTTCCAATACATGAAAATACAGTCTCACAAGCATAGTTTCTCATACGATAGTCATAAAAATAATGAAAGGATACCTCAAGGGCTCCACGTTGTCTTGATTAATGCTAGGTGAAGAAGATCCAAAAGGAAAAATTGGATAATCCTGTAAATCGTGCTCAAACGTCTAGTAAGTGCTACAAGAGAAGCTATTTAAATCTACCATGGCCATTCTCTCGCCAGTAAGCAAGGCAACAGACCTGTGGGTTTTGTGCAGCTCTGCCACCTTCTCTTCCAGCTCCTTAGTCTGAGTAGGGGCAAACTGGAATTCACTGAGGTCGATGCTGCCATGTTCTTCTGGGTCATAGTCACCAAGTTCAGCCTGCAGGGTGTAGGATCCCAGGAGAGCATGAGTCACAAAAGAGCAGGGCAGGCGGCCAGAGGCAATGTCCTGCCGGAGCTGAAGGCACAAGAAGTATCTGTGTGGAGCAGAGGGAGAAAGGGGTCAGAGGAGAACCATTAGGTGAGACTGGAGCACTCACAGTCCTTAAAACCTAATACCCCTTTGAAAACAAATATACAATATAGGCACTCTTCATATCCACAGCAAAAATCATCTTCTCTAATAAAAAGCCTCAACTTGTTCCTTGGGCTTCTAAATTTGTGGCTTATTTATAGAAACTGAGTCCGAAGGCTAATTTATATGTATATATATATACAATGGAATGAAAATTCTAAACTGCTGTTCTGGTAATAGTCAGTCTATGATTACTATGAAGAGTTTTGTGACTGAAGTAAAAATTTCAATCACTTAAACTGTCTCCTTGGATTTCAAATTGTAATAAAAATTACCCCTCAAAAGATGTAAAGATTAATGGATTAAAAAAAAAAAAACTAGTCTTAATCATTTCTAAGAAAAGCTAAGGTCACTCACCCTTTATCATCTTGACCCTTTTTATACTAATTTCTTCTTTTCCAGAAACACCTTTAACAACAACTATTGGTGAATCTACTTTGAAGCCCTTACTTGTCCACTTACCCCATCTAAAGCAGTAGCTAGCTCAGCCTAGTAGAAAAGGCCTGGGCTTTGATGCCAGGAAGACCTGACTCTATACGACCTTGAGCAAGTTAATTTACTTTAAGCCTAAGGGTAATTTCCCACCTGTAAGATGCTAAGAACTCTACCTCCCTTTGAAGATGAGCATGAACATTAGATAATATAAACAAAATATCTGCCAGAGGCCTAAGAATCAATAACTAGTAGCTATAATAATTAGTGGCTATAATAATGTTTCTCATTCAATGTTCCATGTGGCTCACTACAGTTATAAAAGAATTTCCATTTTCCACGAAATAAAATGCAGAAACACGTGATATATAATCTGTGGTTCCCCACTCAACCCCCCACCCCACCCTTTTTAGCCCCACTACCAATTCCTCTCGGTAACATTTTAAAATGTGATTTCTACTCTCCAATTTCACCATTTGCTATGGTCACCACGGATCCTCCCAAATTAACAGCAGAGTCCATTCTTTAAGACCTTTTAGGGACTGGCATTCATACCGGCAGCTGTCCATCTTAGTCCTGTGGACACTTGCCTGGCCTGGGTTTTAGGGCCCAATCCTCTTCCTGCTCTCTACTCTATACAGTCAAATGGGGAGTGCTGGCCTCTGGTCCAGGCCTTGTTGTTACTGGGTCAGAGAGCACAACCCAACACATGGGGCCAGTTCAGTTTAGAACCTGGATTACCACTCAAATACCTTATCAGGCAGGGCAGGGACTCTGTTTATCATCACCACAGTCCCACAGTTACTAACGGGCTTGCCGCATGACAAGTGCTCAGTAATTGAGAGACTGAAAGTCTTCTCGCTATCACTACAGTACTTTGAGTATTTTATGCCTTGCAGAAGTTCACGTTTTAAGGAGTATCATTTGTTTCCTTGGCCCATAGAAAAACGTAAGCATAACTGTACATACTTCAGAAACTGAATTTTCAACCATGGGTCCAGGTTATCCTCAAATTCTCTAATCAACAACAGTGATCGTTCTCCACATTTTACGGCAGTTTTAGAACCTAAACACAAATATTTCATCTTGCTGCTTCCTATTATTGTCTCTGCTTTTCACATTAGTCCTTTCCTCTGCTTTCAGAACCTGTCTAAACCCTAAAAACTTCAAACAAAAAATGGCATGAGCTTCCTGAAATAGCCAACTGTACCTTCACACAGCACTATGAAGCACTCTTCAAACATTATTCGAGATAGTGTTCTTGCCCTTCTCAGAAGCCTACCCCACCTTCTAAATGTTCACTCAAGTCATGGTGAAGATTTCAATCATCATGGTGAAGATTTCAATGATGACATTTAAGCTGCCAGGCCACAAGTACAGGCAGGTGGCTGTTCTCAGGCTGCAGCACTGAGACCTTTAGTTAGCTGAGTAGACTATATTGTTCCTCCCACTAGACAGGGAGACTGTTCAAGTTCCGGAAAACCAAAGTACTTACTGATGCTACAAACTTGCAGTCACCAAAGGATTATCATTCCCCAAACAAATTACTGCAAGGAGGAGTGTATGTACAGACAGTGCTGGGTCACAAAGCCCCAGTCACATGCACTGTTCAGAGGCATCCAGCAGTGAAGCTCTGCATCCTACACACACTGTTCGGTCAGGTTTTATGCTCTAAGTAGCTCACTGTGCAGTTACAAAGTTACATTTATTATTTACTAGGTGAAGCTAATTCATTCAGAGCTTAATTAGCACATTCCTATTCAGCAACAAGTAGTTTAAAAAAAAAAAAAAAAAAAAAAAGGCCAGCCTGCTATGTATCCAATATTGGAAAGAAATCTCCATCCTTCCTAATTCACATGGATATTATGCTCTCTTAAGCACCTCCACAACTTGATGTCTGACAACAAAACTGGCCAAGCAGAAAGCATCAAAGATACAGGAAGTAACGACAAGCAGACTCTTTTGCTAAGCCCTCTAGTTTTCTAAAAGTCATGCACTGCACACAGTGTCAAATAAGTATGTGGGCATGTTTGTCTCCAATGTGTATATGTTAAGGGGACATTTGGCCATGTAAATAACCTTTTTAAAATATGGTATATAAAAATTATCCTTTAAAAAAAGAAATCAATCCTTTATACTTCCTCTTACCAAAGCTAAGAAATGCTATCGCTGGTACCCAGTGTAATCGGGCTAAGATTAAGGTACTTGTTGATTGATTCACAATGTTTCTGGTACTCAGTCTAATCAGGCTAAGATTTCAAGGTACTTGTTAATTCACAATGTTTCTTGGTTGCCATGCAAGTACTCAGAATCAATAAATATTCTCTTGCTCCTAAACAGAATCCTTTCTTTGCAATTTTAGTGTATGTTCTTATAGCTCATACAATCTCCAAGGAGATGGAAATGAACTAGCTATTGACTCTACGTAAGAAATCCCATCTTGTTTGGTTCTGGAGGGAGAAGACAGAAATAAATTACCAGTTCAATTGGCCTTTTAAAATAATTTCATTTTTCTAACCTCATATCATCTTTGTAATATGAGACTAGTATATAGGCACACATAAGTTATATACAATAAAAATGACCTTGGTATTAAAATCTCAAATATTAAATATTAGTGACTTTTAAAAGTATAGAAAACAAAGTTGTCAGCAGTATCATTTTAAAATTTTTCATTACTAGAATATAAATGAAGAAATTAAAGAAAGTGAATAAAATTTTTGAAACTGTCAACATTTCAAACTATTTGGATGTACCCAATTTCAAGGAAACTTCTAAAACTTAAGAAAAACTGTTTCGGTTTTCAATCCTGAAATTACCACTATGCTCCCAGGGCAGAGAAATAAATGAGAGCTGTAAGGAAAGACTCATTTCAAAATGCAAATATAAAGTACCTGGTGATATCTTCAGTCAATTGAGAAGGATCAGGAGGATAAAACTTCACATTAAAAGTGAATAGCCAGGGAAGGTCTGTAATTATTAAATATCACAGTTATGCACCCAATTAACAGAAGAATTACTATTGTGATAAAATTTAAAGGTCAAGGATCAAACAGTACAGACTAATCCAACTATAAATCAACATGCAGAATTTTATTTTTTATTTAAATAAAAATTGCTTACAAAATAAAAATGAAATAAAAATAAAATAGAAATCAATTACATGAATAAGCCACCATTAAAGTGTAACAGGCTGTCTTTCTCATAAAAATTCACTGGTACCTCAACATGTGTTTTATATGGTGATCTATTACACAAAAATTTTAATATAACCTCCATGTAATAGTTATGAGGTAAGATTTTATTTAACCACAGGATCTCCTGTTGCCAAATATTCTTTACCCTTAAAAAAAAAAAATTCAGGATTTCTACATTGTTGTGGGGAAGGAGAGTAATGATCAAGAGATAATAGCTATTCAAAAAATTATTAATGGGCTATTTGAAGAAGGTGTTAAAAAAGATCCCAAGAAAGGAAAGCATGGTACAATTTCATGATACTTTAGGACAATACAATTATTTCCCAGGTTTTATAGAGTAGGTGTAAGTATATTCGTATATAACAAACACTTTGCTGTACTGTGCCATAAAGAATGAATAAATCAAGCAACCATATCGTGGCTTGTTAAAAGTTAAAACACTGCTATCTATACATTAAAATGTAACTGCTATTTTGATAGATCACATGTAAGATAGCTTTAAAAAAGTAAAACTATGGGGGAAAGGGCAGGTATTATTTTCCTAAAGGGTTTATCCAAGTAATTCCACTAGCCTGAATTTAGAGTTTGACTTCAAGTTCATAATATTTTTAAATTTAAAAAAAATTGTGTGTGTGTGTGTATATATATATATAAGTTATTCCTTTTTTTTTTTAAAGACAGGGTCTCACTCTGTTGCCCAGGTTGCAGTGCCATTGCATGATTACAACTCACTGCAACCTCGACCTCCCAGGCCTAAGTGATCCTCCCATCTTAGCCTCCCAAGTAGCTGAGACCACAGGCATGCACTATGATGTCTGGCTAACTTATATTTTACTTTTTCAGAGACAGGGTCTCCCTAAGTTGCCAGGCTTGTCTCGAATCCCTGGGCTTAAGCAATCTTCCCACCTCAGCCTCCCAAAGTGTTGGGATTATAGGCATGAACCACCACGCCCACCCAAGTTATTCCATTCTATACATATTTAAAGACCTCATGAGATGTTTAATTTATGAACTTGAAGAAAAATTCCTTGAATCCCATGCTGTTGTTCAGTGTGGCATTTTGTCCTTTGCCTTACCATCAGCACACTACATTTTCACTCACTCAAATATTTATTAAATGGCTACTGTTATATACACAGGCATTTTTGCTGGATTTTGGCTCAATGCACTACTATTCAACCAATGAAGTCAGTCCTGCTGAACTTAAGAAGCAGATTTCAGTTCTGCTTTACACATTTAAAACATAATACTGGGATATAAGATTTTCCTGAATATCAAGATATATGAGGTTTCTTGGCCTATAGCGCCATGCTGACTGTCAAATATCCACGCATCATGTTTGTGTAAGCATTACTTCAAGGTGACTGCTAATTTCTAATTAAGTAAAGTTATCACAGCTTTATCATTTCTTAATGGCTCCTTGTTTGTTTTCTAGGTAATAACACTAGCACATGCTTGCCTCGATAGGACTTGGAGACATTTCCACTAGACCACATATTTTCGAATATACTTCCAAATCTAAAAGCTATTGAAATGTACCAAGAATGCTAAGCTTTTTTTAAACTGACAAATAAAAATGGTATACATTTATGGTATAAAATATGATGTTTGAAAATATGTATACATTGTGGAATGGCTAAATTAAGCTAATTAACATATGTATTACTCTTCACATACTATTTTTGTGGTGAGAGCACTTAAAATCTACTCCCTTAGCAGTTTTCAAGTTAAATTTTTAATTTAATTACATATTATTTTCATTATAATTTTTACCTAGGTGTTTAGAAAGTCCTTCTAGCTACAGAAATGTTTACATACTAGTCATATGCAAGCCTTAGACATACAGTCTTATTTATGTTTGAGGAAATAAAGGTTTTAAAGCAAATTTTAAATGAGAATCATTAAGTTGTTGGTTGTCACAGGTAACTCAAAAAAGATTAATATTTATCTTCACTAACTGCCTATGAGCTGAAAAATCAAATTTAAAGAAGAGACCAACGATAGAATAGGCAGCTTTTTTGTCCATTTTAATACAGGAAGTAAGAGGTAGATACAACTGCTAAAGCTTCATTTCCTCAGCCTCTTTCATGATGGGTACAGTTCAGGATGCCATTTAAAGAACTGGGTCCAATAGTTTTAATATGTTATTCATATTGCCAAACCACAAGGGTAAAAGTTCTGAAATAACTTTCTGAAACTTCACAGATAATCAAAACATAAGAACGTGATTCATAATCGGCAAGAGGTTTCGCTTCCAAAAGTTAGGAAATCTCCATGACTCTGAAGCGTGTGGCACACACACACACAAAAATAATAATAATTAAACAAGAACCCAAACAAAACCATAGAAAACAACACAATGGAACATCAATCATGTTTCAGAGGTTGCCCTGTTCTCTCTCTGTTTGGGTCACTTGGCAGGTCTGGTTTCAGAGAAAGTATAAGAACTAAGCATCCGTAACCTTTTTGAATGCATGCACTTTGCAAAGTAACAACTGCAGAAGGGACAAAGGAAAAAGTCTCAAAACTCTGGTACTGTTTCTCCCATAAGGCAAGCATAATGTATCTGGTGTCTACTTATTCCTCTTCTTTTCCTCCATTTTCCATCATGAAGCAAGCATAAATGGATGAAACACCAAGAAAATAAATGCAAGAGACAGAATGCGGGAAAGCCAGGAATAACAGTCAAAGGATAGAGTGACCAACCATGCCAGCTTGCCTGGGACTGATTCCAGCTTTAGCACTTAAAGTCTCATATCCTTAGAAGCCCCTCTGTCCTGGGCAAATCAGGAGGTTGGTCACTCTAATCAAACACACTTTAAAAAAGGAAAAGAAAGATGAGTCTATAGGAAGAGGAAATGGGGAAAATAAGGTATATGCTCAGAATAAAAAAGAGAGTAGGGAACCAAAGAAATGATAGGAAGACTACCAAAAAGATAAATCATTCAAGAGAGAAAGAAAGAAAGAAAGAAAACCAATGTGAAGAACCTAAAATGGGAGCTAGATGGTAGATGAAAAGGGCAAGAAGGGAAAGTACAGATTGGTTTCAGTATTTTGACCTTAGGAATTATAAATAAGTAGGGAAATGAAATCAACAGTACAAAGGGCATCTTACTGACTGGCACTTGGAGAAGAGGTTTCTCCTGCGACAACTCTGGGTCCCACAGTCGAGGAAGGCTGTTAGGAATTCACCAGCCTTCAGATTTTATTCTCCAGACCGAAAATTCCAACTGCCTGTAGCTGCCTACCTTCTCTGCTTCAGTTATTCATAGACCCTGAAGTAAATTAAGTATCCAGAATCCCCCTAACAGAGATTTCTCTCTGTTGATCATGTTTCTTGGCACAGATACCAAAAAACCAGCCACAGGCAACACAACCTGCAAAAGCAGAACGTATAGAGAGAACTGAAGCTGGTTAGAGTGGGACCCTTGAAGTCATTTTGGGATTGTACAACAAGAACAAATGGGGAAAGGGGAAGAAAGGAACAGTGAGGCCTAACTACAACCCCAGGCTCAAAGAGCATGCAACGTGGCCTTGGATTGTAGAACCAATGAGCAGAGATGGCAGTGACCTCAGAGAACTGAAAAGATTGTTCCCGAGCCGGGCGCAGTGGCTCAAGCCTGTAATCCCAGCACTTTGGGAGGCCGGGATGGGCGGATCACGAGATCAGGAGATCAAGACCATCCTGGCTAAAATGGTGAAACCCCGTCTCTACTAAAAAAAATACAAAAAACTAGCCGGGCGTGGTGGTGGGCACCTGTAGTCCAAGCTACTCAGGAGGCTGAGGCAGGAGAATGGCATAAACCTGGGAGGCGGAGCTTGCAGTGAGCTGAGATCCGGCCACTGCACTCCAGCCTGGGTGACAGAGCGAGACTCCATCTCAAAAAAAAAAAAAAGATTGTTCCCCTTGCTTCTCCCCAGAGTCCTCACTCCAGTACTAGGAACAGTGTCTCTATATGTCTCTGTGACCAAAGATGTGCATATTGAACCAATTATACACTTTCAAAATGAAGCAAAGCATAAGTATCAGGTCGCATTGGAGTAAAATTTGCAGAAAAGTAGCTTCTCTCTCTTTCCCAGAAAAAAAAAAGGTCAGATGTTACTTGGTAGGATATTCTGAGTGAATATTTAGGAATGTGAGTCTAGAACCTTCTCAAAATTTGGAGCCCCCGAGCCATGTACAAAACAGTCACAATTCCACAAAAATATTATTAGTATTATTAACTTCTAAGATGGCATAAACGCAAAATAGAACTGACCATTCTATTATTGATCATTTATATCACAAATAGGTATCAAGATACCTTAACTTCAAAGAATGATTATTTAAATACTTACTTCTCAGTTGTCTCTTTATTTCTTTAGCAGGATCTAGCCAGTTCTGCGTGAGGGAAAAAAAAATTAATTCATAAGAAATATTCTAGAGTCTAAAATAGAACAGTTTACAGTTCACATAATTATTTACGTGTAAACACATTTTAATAAAGTCCTATTCAAAGCGACTGTCACCTATTAGCATTCCACTGGGCTAAGTATTGCTTTGTTCTTGGGTACATATGTGTGTCAATGTGTTAAGTGTGTATTATAAGTAAAATATTCAAATGCTTTTAAGGTGGGTCTCATGGGCCTCATTCTTTTGCATCTAAGATGGTCCAAACGATGAGACATATCTTCATACAGTCTTTATTCTGTAGAACTGCCAACAAATAGCCCCTGCAGACACTGAAATGAGAGCTTTTCAAGGACAATAATGGATTCTTAATCATGAAGGATAAAGTGTGAAAATGGAAACTGATGGCTAAAAGTATATACATACCAATCAATTATCTCAACTCCTAAAACCAACTCCTCCTCCTCCTTAATCCTCCTTTTCCCTCCAACTCTATAATTATAAAGAGAGGTAAGGTCAGACTGTAGATAATATTTCCCTTCCTGGTCTTAATATAACATACTTCTTTCTTCTTAATCTGATTCTAAGTTGGAAGTAACAATCATGAGGAACTCCCTTTCACTTTCCCCTCATTCCTGCTCCTTAAGAAAACTTTACTCAGGCTGCTCTGCTGGCAGCTCTGGCTAGGGCAATCAGGCAAGAGAAAGAAATAAAGAGTATTAAAATAGGTAGAAAGGAAGTCAAATTGTCTCTGTTTGCAGATGACATGACTGTATATTTAGAAAACCCCATTGTCTCAGCCCAATGTCTCCTTAAGCTGATAGGCAACTTCAGCAAAGTCTCAGGATACAAAATCAATGTGCAAAAATCACAAGCATTCCTATACACCAATAATAGAGAGCCAATGATGACTGAACTCCCATTCACTAAGAGAATAAAATACCTAGGAATACAACTTACAAGGAATGTGAAGGACCTCTTCGAGGAGAACTACAAAGCACTGCACAAGGAAATAAGAGGACACAAACAAATGGAAAAACATGCCATGCTCATGGATAGGAAGAATCAATATCGTGAAAATGACCATACTGCCCAAAATAATTTATAGATTCAATGCTATCCCCATCAAGCTGCCACTGTCTTTCTTCACAGAATTAGAAAAAAACTAATTTAAATTTCATATGGAACCAAAAAAGAGCCTGTATAGCCAAGACAATCCTTAACAAAAATAACAAACAATGCTGTGATGCTGGAGGCATCACACTACCTGACTTCAAACTACACTACAAGGCTACAGTAACCAAAACAGCATGGTACTGGTACCAAAACAGATGTACAGACCAATGGAATAGAACAGATGCCTCAGAAATAACATCACACATCTACAACCAACTGATCTTTGACAAACCTGACAAAAACAAGCAATGAGGAAAGGATTCCCTATTTAATAAATGATGTTGGAAACACTGGCTAGCCATATGCAGAAAACTGAAACTGGACTCCTTCCTTACACCTTATACAAAATTAACTCAAGATGGATTAAAGACTTAAACGTAAGACTAAAACCATAAAAACCCTAGAAGAAAACCTAGGCAATACCATTCAGGACATAGGCATGGGCAAATACATCGTTTCTAAAACACCAAAAGCAATGGCAACAAAAACCAAAATTGACAAATGGAATCTGATTAAACTAAAGAGCTTCTGCACAGCCAAAGACCATCATCAGAGTGAACAGGCAACCTACAGAATGAGAAAAAAATTTTGCACTCTATCCATCTGACACAGGGCTAATATCCAGAATCTACAAGGAACTTAAACAAATCTACAAGAAAAAAATAACCCCATCAAAAAGTGGGTGAAGGATATGAACAGACACTTCTCAAAAGAAGACATTTATGCAGCCAACAAACATATGAAAAAAAGCTCATCATCACTGGTCATTAGAGAAATGCAAATCAAAACCATAATGAGACACCATCTCACGCCAGTTAGAATGGCGATTATTAAAAAGTCAGGAAACAACAGATGCTGGAGAGGACGTGGAGAAAGAGGAACACTTTTACACTGTTGGTGGGAGTGTAAATTAGTTCAACCATTGTGGAAGACAGTGTGGTGATTCCTCAAAGATCTAGAACTAGAAATACCATTTGACCCAGCAATCCCATTACTGGGTATACACCCAAAGGATTATGTATCATTCTATTATAAGGACACATGCACACGTATGTTCATTGCAGCACTGTTCACAATAGCAAAGACTTGGTACCAACCCAAATGCCCATCAGTGATAGACTGGATAAAGAAAATGTGGCATATATACACCATGAAATACCATGCAGCCATAAAAAGGATCAGTTCATGTCCTTTGCAGGGACATGGATGAAGCTGGAAAGCATCATTCTCAGCAAACTAACACAGGAACAGAAAACCAAACACCATATATTCTCACTCATAAGTGGGAGCTGAACGATGAGAACACATGGACACAGGGAGGGGAACATCACACACCAGGGCCTGTCAGGGTGTGGGGGGCTAGGGGAGGGATTGCATTAAGATAAATACCTAATGTAGATGACAGACTGATGAGTGCAGCAAACCACCACAGCATGTGTACACCTATGTAACAAACCTGCACATTCTGCACATGTATCCCAGAACTTAAAGTGTAACAATACTTTTTTTAAAAAAAGAAAACAAGTCAATAGTTACATCCAATGGAAGTTAAATAAACTCTCCAATTAACCACAAAAAAGAAAGCTTAAAAAAAAATGCTAGGAAACTATTATAGCATCTTAAAGCAAAAAAGACCAAATTTAATCACTAGGTTTTAACTACCCAAGGACATTAAATTTTTGTTTTTTGAAGCTATAAGCAAAAGACCAATAAAAAAATTTAGATTTTTGTTTATATTTTTATATTTATACTTTTCTATCCTCAAGTTATCACTAACATAGAAGAACTGCAGTTTTTTTGAGGCACAATAAACTAATTCAAATAAATGAGTCTAGTAGTTTTCTTCATTCTAAGCAGTGTCCAAAATAATATAACAGGGGCCCTCAACCCGCAGCCCATGAACTGGTACTGATCGTGGCCTGTTAGGAACTGGGCTGCACGGCAGGATGTGAATAGCAGGTAAGTGAGCATTACCGCCTGAGCACCACCCCCTGTCAGATCAGCACCGGCATTAGATTCCCAGAGGAGCACAAACCCTATTGTGAACTGCACGAGACAGGGATCTAGACTGCATGCTCCTTATGAGAGTCTGACTAATGCCTGATGATCTGAGGTGGAGCAGTTTCATCCCAAAACCATTCCCTCGCCCCCGCCCCGGTCTGTGGAAAAACTGTCTTCCACAAAACCGGTCCCTGTTGCCAAACAGGTTGCGGACCACTGTTATAAGATCTGTGCTTAAACAGAATTTTATTCAGATATATAAAGCAAACAATTAAAATGCTTGTTAGTACATAGAAAACAACCTGCTGTCTTAATAACATATTAAAATGGTATAACGGAACATTAAGTGACACTATTAAAAAGTAAAACTGTAAGATGCTATGAAAGCAGAGCTGCACGGCCCCTCGGGTTCCACTACTGTTCATGGCCCGCACTCGGGGTAGCAAGGATCCAAGGTGTGCATGGCTCTGTTCTAACACTGGTTATATTCAAACCTCTCAATAATTTCACATTACTGGTGTCCCAGCTGCAGGCACTACTGATGTGAGGGGCAGCAGGTCTCTCTAAGGGTGCCTCCAGTGCCATGTGAGGGGCAGCTCTAATTCTCCCTTCACAAGACAGCCTGCCATTCAGTTTGCATGCACTGCAGCTGCTGTCCCACCCAACAGCTGGCTCACAAATGGCCAGCCTCGATGAGTGCACAAGAATGAAAAAACACATCATTCAGCCTCTAGCCCAGACTGGCTGGAGGCTGGGAGAGAGGTGAGAAAGGGGCAAATGGGTGGAATTTTCACCCAAGGAACAACTGTAGCAAGAAAAATGGAATTGGATAGTGTCAAATTGAAAAGAAAAAAAAGAAATCCCCAGAACATTAACACAGAGTTCAGAAGACAGTAGAGGAGAAAGTGCTGGTCTTAAAGACAGACCCTTCCAAATCCCCAGTTTCATTAAGTTTGAACAGTGATATAGATCCCCGATACAGAAGAGCAACAAAGGACCCTTTTCTGTTCCAGAAGATGGTGGAAGCTTGTCACCCCAGGGACTAACCCTGTGTCCCAGCCACCGGGCATCTTCTATTCTCACCTAAAGCACCCAGCCCTTGTACAAATTACCTAAAAGTTTCTACAGGGCATGGTGAGAGTCAGCTCCATAAACCCAGCAATATGAGTGAAAAGTCAGCCAGCCAGCCAAATTCAGACTTGGTGTACTTCTCAGGCCACTTTCTACAACACTGCCAGAGAGATTACTGAAGGCTGAAATGGCTTACTTTCAACCCCATCCAAAGACTACGTGGGCGGAGTTTACCTGATATTATCACACAGCAGCATGATTTCCTCACCTGGTTTTCCCTTTCCTAACCACATTCACTTTCACACTGTTAAGTTCCATTCCTGCCAAGCATTAGGCCGTCTTCTCACTCCCCAGTACTACAACTTTGCAAAGGCTGGAACAGACCATAATATTTACATCTCCCAGGGTACTTAATACAGTTTTAGGCAACCAGTAAGCACTAAATTAACACCTGCTGACTGATACATGCCCATTGCTTGCCTCCTTCCTCTCCACACTGTGATCATCTTAAATGATCACAAGTTATATTATTTTTATTACATTTATTTTTACTTGAATAAGTATCTCTAATGAGTACTTAGATGGCAAGTGGGGTATAGTATCATAAATTCCTAAGTAAAAAAAAAAAATTACTTACATGACTTAAAAGAAATACAAGTTAATGATCTGCATTATTGGTTATGAAGAAATAATAAACAAAACTTTTAAATAAATACAGTAAATAATAAAAATTAACTTCTTGG